CTGCCAGAATAATATAACCTATTATTCTAGTAGCTGGTTAGGTTGGAACTGTGATTCCAACAGTAAATGAACTTTCAGCAAAAAAAATGTATAGAATATTCTTTGTAATTTGCTTTTTATTATTTGTTTAAGATCAATGTGGAATTGGAAAAGATTTTCAAAGAACTCTGAAACCATGAGCAATGTATTTGATTTGCTGAACATCAATTAATTGCAACACAAAAAAATTGTCAACAACACTGCAAGCCAATGATCTTAACCTTTGGGATGGCTCCGCTAGGTACTTACTCGATGCTTTGGATAGATTGCAGCGCCGCGCAGTACGCATTATTGGCAATGGAGAAGTCACCAAGAACCTAGAAAGCCTGCAACTGCGCCGAGACGTTGCTTCGCTCAGCGTCTTCTACCGTTTCTACCATGGTGAATGCTCTGAAGAACTCTTTTCCCTTATCCCTCCATCTCCCTTCCTCCTCAGGACCACACGTGCTGGTTTGCGTTGCCACCAACTAACTGTGGCAGCGATTCCTTCGCGTACAAAGAAATTTGGCGACTCATTTCTTTGTCGTACTACCAAAAAATGGAATTGTCTCCCGGCCCATGTATTCCCTCCTTCCTATGACATGGGGTCCTTCAAGCGGGGCGTGAAGAAGCACCTTGCAGGTCGGCAAGGTGAGGTTGGCTAGTGCAGTACCTACGTACTGTTTTCACTAGCTGTCCTCGCGTTTGGACTACGCCTCCGCTTACCATCAGGTGGAGCGCAGTCATTTGCCCTCCTTTATATATATAAAAAAAAAAAAAAAAAAAAAAAGATTCAGGACAACTTGGCAGGTTTAGATGCTGGAAAGGCAACTGCCTTGGTTTGAAAATGTGCATTTATCTATAATGGTAATTTTTCAATTAATGTATTCATTCAGTGTAGCCTCCTCACCTACAAACTAACACAAAAAGAAGTGTTTGAAAATGATAAAATTTTATCATTCTAAATTATAGCGGACTGGTACAGTTACTGCAGAGAGGTAATTGTCATATACAAATTTGAACACCAGTCCACTGAAAATAAAATTGGTGGCCCCAATAAAATAATAGAAATTAATGAATCCAAATTTTGAAGAAGAACGAAGAAATTATAAGAGGCTGCCATATTGAAGTTCACTGGGTTTTGGGGATGATAGAAGATGTTAGTTATAATCTTTATTTGGAAGTGTGTCCTGGTAATGAAAGATCCGCAGATATATTGGTGCCACTGTTAAAAATGCGTTCAAGAAGGCACCATCACCCATATCGACTTTTGGAGAGCCTATGACTGCCTTCCTGAGCGCAGATAATATAATTAATAATAATAAAGCTTTATTTAGTGCCATCGTACATATTAAATAACTCCAATTGTAATATATAAATGAATTACAATTTTGTTATTAGTTTAAAACTTAACTAATTTGATTAAATTGATTACAACTACCTAAGTTAATTTATGCATGGACCCCGATTGGGTAAAAAGCCTCCTCAAGGAATGCCATGTTTCTCTGTCCTCAGCTCTCTCTATTCAACTTCCGCCCAAACGCGCTGCAATTTCGTCTGCCATCTGGCTTTTGGTCGACCTCTTAGTCTGGTGCCTTTTGGTCCAGACTACTATACTGACCATTGAGTCCATCTATCGTTCATGTAGAGGGCTACGCGGCCCGCCCACTTCCATTTAGCGAACATTGCAAAAGTTAAAACATACTTTTGTCTTCTTTCGAATGTCAACGTTCTTTACCTTATCCTTTAGTTTTATACTTAGGCAGCTTCTTTCCATTGTTGTCTGGGTAGACTGAATTTTGTTCCTGATTTTAAGATCGAAGATCCAAGTTTGGCATCCATAGGTGAGGCACAGTACAAATCCTGTATCCATGACTACTTTCTTGGTCTGTAGCAGTAGTTGCGATTTTAGTATTTCCTTATGGTGCCAAAACTCGTTCCAGGTAATCACCACTCTTCGATTTAGTTCTTCAGTATTTCTTTCCTTACTAAAAGAAATTTGTTTCCCTAAGTATATGTAGTGGTTGACCCACTCTAGAGGTGTGTTATTTATAAAGATGGGCGTTGTCCTGCGGTAAGACATAATTTTAGTTTTATCTAGATCCATTTCGAAACCAATTTTTGTACTAACCTGGTTTAATTCATTTATCATTTTATTTAATTTACTCTCGTAATTTTATAATTTCTTCTCGTAATTTCTCGTAATTTTGGATCTAGTCCATTTCAAAACCAATTTTTGTACTAACCTGGTTTAATTCATTTATCATTTTATTTAATTGCTGAGGGGTTTCCGAGAGTAAAATTATGTCATCGGCAAATCAGAGACGACTTAAAAAAACTCCATTTATATTAATTTCTTGATTGGACCATGTCAGCTCTCTCATTACATTTTGTAAAACAGTTATGAATAATTTTGGTGAGATCGGGTCTCCTTGCCGGACACCTATCTTTATGTTGATTACTTCACCTACTCTATCCAGTTTAACTCTACTTGTGCTGTTAGAGTAAATATTTTTTAGGACATTGATATACTTTTCATTTATGTTTATTGCTTTCAGCGATTCCCAGATGCTCTTGTGTGAAATTGAATCAAAAGCTTTTTTGTAGTCAATGAAACCTAAACACAGGGGTTTGTAAAAATCTAAATATTGTTCTATCACCTGGTCAACCACTTGGATATGATCCATCGTGCTGAAACCAGCTCGTTCGATCGGTTGGTGAGCATCGATGACTGGGGCTATTCTTTCAAGTAGACAGGAGGCAAGTTTATAAAAAAAAGACATTAGGCTTATAGGACGATAGTTGACGCTGGGTCACCTTTTTTATATAATAGTATAATATCCGATGTCATCTATTGACATTGCACAGCTGCTTCGCCAAGTATTTTATATCATAGGATATTGATTGGTGTCAGTAGTAAATTCTTCGCAACCTTGATACATTCGTTGGTGATTCCATCCGGTCTCTGGGCATTTATCTGGCTTGAAACTCGTTATTTGTTTTAATATTTCATTTTCTGTAAACTGGTGTATTGGAGAGGTATCTGTGGAGCTATAGGAACCCATTATTTGATATTGTGTGTTTGATTGTCTGTATAGATTAGCGTAGAAGTCAGACTTGAGGATAGGAACCCATGTTTTGGCTTGGTTTAGCTCTTTATAAGTTTTTTTGGCAGATCTACTATTATTGAGGTGTTTTTGAATAATTGTTGGTCTATAGGTGGCGTAGCACCTTTTTAATTCTTTATTGGTAAGCTTGTGCAAAGTTTTTAGTTTTTCTTTGTCAGCAACGCTTAAATTGGGCTTATTTTGTAGTGCTTCTCTCGAGCACGGATAATTACATAAAAAAGTGAATCATAGTGATCCTATAAATATATTTGTGGCACCAGACTGAAAACTTTACACAAAAAGAATCGAAAGCCAATGGCGAAGCTTGAAAAAAGTATTTCGCCAGCGCAACATAACAAAAACAATCTTACAGACTGGCTATGTCAATATTCGCTGCGGGGTAAAAACCGAATACACCACCGCAATCCTTTCCAGGAATTATTAAAATGTATAAAATATGTGTATAATAACTAGCACAATAAATATTTTACTATGAAGTAAGAAATTGTTTTATTTCTTAAATCTAATATTTAATTACAATTAAACAACAAATATGTACATAGTGTAAGAATATAATTTTAATATTATACTTACTTAAATTATACATTTTTGAATAAAAATAAATAGGCACATTATTCATAATCATAATTTAAATAAAGTGAGTATCTTACTTTGCACCAGGATTCAGAGTGATAATCATCACTTATAATTATCTTGCTAAATATACCTTGATAATTATAAAACACTACACAAACTCTTTTGTAGTTTGGGACTTGTTATTCTGATAGGGAAAATCGTCTAGGATAGACCTATAAAACAAATATATATATATTTATGTTTTCATTGCACTTTTTGTTCAATGTGATTTCACAGTTAAGTTTTTGTTCATATGGTTTGTTTGGACCAGTGCTGAGAAAAAAAAATGGCTAATAACGAATATTCCCGATAGGCCACCCACTGGGCATTTATATTTTTTTAACATTAAACAACAGTTCAAAAACTGTCATCAAAAATATTCTTAATGAAAAATGTTTAAAAAATCCACTTTGTCTCTGGCACTCTGAGATGGGATTCGAACTCGTGACCTTTCGCAATCCGGGCGACTGCTCTAACCATTGAAATAACAGAACTGTCGAATCTTTCAAGCACTTGTTACTTTTTCGCTACTACAAAAATTTTATTAATATAATAACTGTTAAGAATTTAAATACTATTACAATCTCAGATTTTCGCCAAATTACATATAAAAGCTATTTTTTCGCTGGTAACGCTGTAAAAAAGAGATGAAAAATAATGGTAATCTATCAGTTTCTCTTAACTGGCGCACGCATAGTAAAAGACCGTACATTTATTTTTCGAATAATAGAATGAAACGAACTTCAATACCGAAGTTTATTTGAAATAATGAACGATACATCATTAAATAAAATGAATAATATGTATGAATAGTATGTATACATCATTAATATGTAACATAGGATAGATCTTCTCTTGTTATTAGCTGTATAGCAGCGCGAGGCTTGACTTCGTACTCTATAAAAGCACAATTGTAGTCCATACTTTTGCCTTTTGTTTTCCTAAGGCTACGCGCGCAACGGTGATTTTTTTATGTCCTGACAGTACTTGAGTACATTCTTGCGGTGACACACGTACTTGTAATCGTTTAAAGAAACGATATTAGCACGGTGTTTACTTAAAATCACGTGGACAAAAATAACTAGTACGCGTGTAGGTTAACCATCTAGTCACAGAGCAACATAATTTCAAATTAATAAAGTAGGAAGTATCGATATTAACATCGAATACAATTGCGCAGAACTATATAATTGTGCTGTCAGAGTACTGCAATGACAAGTGATGCGCTTAGCTTAGTTACTAATCTATGTATTTATAGACAGTCTTCTGTCCGTTCTGCGTCATCTCTATCATGAGCTCGGTGAGATCGTCGCTCAATTTCACATGCATTAATGGTTGGACGAATTCTGTAATAGTCAAAATACAAATTTTTATAAACCCTCTTCGCAATTAATAGCACGACTGATGAGACATATTAAAGTAAATGCTTAATGCAGTTACTTGTTCCACATCCACGAGATGGGATTCAAACCCATAACTTTTTGTAATGCATGCGATTGCTCCATTCTCACATTTTTCTTTAGGATATTAATCAATATAGCATTGTGATTAATAAATAATGCATTGTTTCAACATTGAATGATTATGGCATAAAAAAGTTAAGTATAGTAAATGTGGAGTGCATTTGATATCAAACCAATGCAAAGAAAATAACAGAGGCATGAGACGAGACCTGATATTCATTATCTTAACTTACCATCTGCACTCCCTGAGGGCACTGGGACCTCAAGCTTAACATCACCCTGGTCACTAAGCTGATTAACGTCTGCAAATGCCACTTCTGGTAACTTTGGAGTGTCACTTGGCTCAAGTACCTCCACTTTATGAATGAGGTCCGTATTGGATTTTTGCCTCTTAATTGGTCTTGCTGAAACTAAAGAAAATAAATAATTTAATAATTGATTTTACTTACATAATGAGCTCACATTGATGAAACATTGGCATAAAAAATTGTGAGTTCTTCAGATTCATCAAAACAAGATAATTTTTTCAAGTATCAATGCTAACTCGAGATAACAAATAAGTCCTTTAACATGTATAGAACCAAATATATAGAAATTCCATGTGTTTTTGCTGTATCCATTTCCAACTCTACATACAAAACTGAAATGTACAGAAATGGAAACTTACATATAAAAAGTAATTGTGTCTTCAATCAATAATACAACTAGATAACGCCTCGCATTCTAAAACAATACCCAAATACGGCACCATACACTGCAACAACCATGGAACATAATACCACGGAGTATATTCTGTGATAATAATACTCTAGGTGACAACTGAGCTCTGGAACTGGGTAAGTATTAAGCTAAGAGAAAATTAACATTGAGTTGCATTATCAATTTTATTTTTCTAAGTTAAATACACATATAATTATATATGTTGATAATTAGGGACCGAACAGCAGTTAGGTATATAAAATTGTGTGTAGTTAAAAAGTTCATAAAGTTTAAAATTTGTAATACATGTATGGTGCAGTCTTGGAACATTGAATATTTGGTCAAATGTTTGCCATGTTGGCGCGTGAGTTTGACTCAAAAACAAAACTCTGTTATTTTATTGAAGATACTTTGATTTTTAATTATATAGACATTGTAAAATGACATTTATGACTTGAAAATATGATATTTCAACAAATACATTTTTATTCAGATAGTCCTCCGTATGTTGGCACCGTTGCAAACAAACTAAAACAAAATAAGATCTCACTTTGAAGGGAGGCATACTTTCTTTGGCTATTTTTGAGACTTTGATGGTATTGTTGATTGAAGACCTGTGTAGCATTTTTTGTTTTAAAATAAATCGTAATTATATTTAATTTTTGCAAAATTAACTTGCAATTTATAATAAGTGGATTACAAAAACTGAAACACAAGCGACCATGAAGGAGCATCATGTGATGTCATAATTCAATAAACTAAATGTCTTTAATGTGAGTGCAACCAGGGCGTCAATTACCGTTACAATACTAAAGTTTATTAATACGTGACTTTACCGCCCGAAAATTAATGAATATGATGAAATATGTTTTGAGTTTTGGAGAAAATAGTAAAACAGTCAAGTAGCCCATTAGGATTATTAGACTATTTCACTTACCAATTTCAACTCTACTCCTTTTTTGTGTAGAATTTTTGTCTTTTAACTGTTTACTGGCTGTTTTACTTTCTTCATTGTCTTTTAATTTCAAAACTCTTGCTACTTCCTTACGTAATGTGTCCTTCACATCATCAGACAGATCCACACCACTGTCATAATGCTTGACATATTTAGTGATAGGCTCATCATCGCTACTATCACATGAGGAGTCATCTGTTGTTTCACTGCAGTCTGGTTGAATATGTTCCTTTTTAAAGAAACTTTGCCACTTTTTTATGAGATCATCGGCGATTTTCTAAAGAGAAATGTTTAAAAATCTATTATATTTGATCAATTTTGCATTCAGAATAAATATCAATCAATTTTGCATCACAAAGGCTAGTCAAAATGTGGGTGGCATACCCAATAAATCTCAATGTTTAAGGGGAAGGGTTTAGGGCCCAGTTACTCACTGAACCCAAGCCCTCAAGTTCCAGAGATCTTACAATCCAACCCATAAAAATAACTCACAAATTTCAAAGGCTTGGGTATTCTTATCATATAGTGTTGCGGATGGGTCTCCAGCATTTCACACTTGGGACATAGGTCATAATCTATGCAGGTGACGCACTTGTATCTGAAGCCGAGAATTATGTTGTTGCAACTGTTGCACATTATGTCGTGGTGTTTAATCTTGTCCAATCTACCTGCAAGTATGTTTATTATTATTTTAAAACTTAAGTGTTTAATCGACATAATATTGTAAATAAATTATTATGTATGTACTTTTTAAAATAAAAGTAATTATTAACTGTATTTTTTTTTTAATTTAAGTCACTTAAAATATTACAGGACAGCCAGCTCTTTAATACAATGGTGTTATTCAATTGAAGGATTAACCATATAACCAGTTGGTGTGCGACATATGTACTACATATAATCAACTGTTGAGCACGATCAAATGAGTGAAAAAGAAACATCTGATGCATTACTTTAATAGGGAGTATAAAATAGCTCTTTGATTGTCAGCCATTATTAAAATTGTGAAATAATTTAGTAAGACTCATTCCGGCAACATTTCAGAAAAAAAAATCGTATAGACTGTTGCCTTTTGTACCAGCTAATATAATGGCCTCTTGACATTAGTCGATAGAGCCTACATATAGAGAGCGGATTACTTCTGTAGCTCATTTACATTACCAATGTCAATGAATTAGTGACAATTAATATAGGCCCACAGAACTCACTACCTATATAGGCAAACTGATGGTCACTCCAGTCTTGTAAAGTCAATGATGAAATCCTTAGATATCCATGCAGTCACTCAATTGTCACTATATACCTACCTTCATTATTCGATCCTGGTAAATACAGAGTTGGTACAGCATCAGGGCATAAGTGTTTATTCTTAAAACACGATGGAGCGAAATGACGAGAACAAAATCTGTGTGTTGATTTCAAATAAGGTTTCTCCAAAAGATCATCTCTGCCACCGGCTTTTAACCATTCTTTTTGGCTGAAAACAATTATGTTAAATTATTTCTCCAGTGTTCCAAGTTACACTTCATACTTACTGTATATAATGTTATAGGTATGTAATAAGTGTTGCTCTAATTATTCAACATCTATATTATAAACAGGAAAATTAATATTATATTTATATTATAAACGTAACAATTGCGACTGATTTAAAAAAAACACCGGGATTCCAATACGCGGGCAACAACATCCATATATTAAATACTTTGTGACAAGGGCAAAGGATATAATTTACGCGGGCGAAGTCGCGGGAAAACATCTAGTATACTATAAACTTCGAATTTTGCAAGTGGAATATGTATATTACCTTACCGGTATCGCTCCTTTGGTAAATTATAATAATTCAAATGGCTGCTCAGTTTACTATTTCTTCCACAGTTTTGTACGCAGCAGTAATTCACCATGTTGTAATCACAATAAATCTATATTGCAATTAAGTATCTTTAGTGTTAAATTCACTTTTATGATGCTTTTATGTTTGATTTGTTGTTTATTTTTGTTGTTGTTAAGATCACAGAACACATTTACGTTACGTTAAGATTTGGATCAGATTTTCCTTTCAATGAGGAAGTATTAAAAAAAAACATTAGTTCCCGAAATCTAACTAGATGTCGCCACGATACTTTCTTGATTTCTCCATGACAACCTTTCCGGTTTTCTTTCATGTTTTAAAGTAAATTAGTTTTCCAAACTCAATAAACAACTCATATTCTATTTGTACTTTTTCGTATTTATATTGATATATAAGTTTCGAACTTTTCAAATTTCAGTTTTTTAATATGTTAGTTAATAGGAACGGAAATTAGTCTTTGGTCCATTCGTTTCCTGCAAAAATCAACTTTTGCTAGAGTCGCAATCTCGTAGAGGTGCTTTTTTGTGCTTTCGTTTTTTTTAAATACTTCCTCATTACCGTAGACAAAAATATAAAAAAAGGGGAAGCGAGGTGCACACGCCTGCACGACAGGTTACCATAATATGTCAAATTTCATTAAATCATTTATAACTCTAGGACCAATAGCTTAAGGTTTAAAATTAAGTTAAGAAATTTCATAGTTTTGTATAGCCTGACGTGTTGTTGATTGTACTATGTTTACTTTGGCTATGACGTTAAATGAAAAAGTATTTAAAAAAATTTGTTCCCGAAATCAAACTAGATGTCGCTACGGTACGTTCTTGATTACTCCTTCCGGTTTTCTTTCATGTTTAAAAGTAAATTAGTTTTCAAAACTCAATAAACATCTCATATTCTATTTGTACTTTGTCGTATTTGTATTGGTATCTAAGTTTTGAACTTTTCAAATTTAATTTTTTTATTATATTCGTTAAAAGGAACGGAAATGACTAGCTTTGGTCCATTCGTTTCCTGCAAAAATCAACTTTTGCTAGAGTCGCCATATAGTGGAGGTTCTTTTTTAGTGCTTTCGTCTTTTTTTAAATACGTCCTCATTTCGAGTCTTATCAACCAATAGTCGAATAATATCGATAGTATCGAAAATACAGAGTTAAAGGCCATGTATCCTGGAGAATCTACGAAATAACCCAACAACCAGACTCGAGACAATAACAAAAAAAAAGACTATTCAACTGTGTAAGAAAGGACTGTCCGTTACGAGTGTTGCATTGGCGCCTGAGCGCAGCGAAGGATACTTGATACCACAAAGTACTTTATTATATAGGGAAACTTGATACTGGATAGTAGAGCATAGATAATACCAAAGAGTAGTAATAATACGGGAAGATAATACATAATAGAGCATAGAGCTAGGTAACTCTCGCAAATGTGTGAGTATTGTTTTTTAAGGAGTCCTGAGTAAAGCGACGCGACGGATTCAATCTCCAGAGTGTAACGTATTGGTAGCGAATGACTTCTTTCATGTAGAGAAAGAGACTATAGATACTTCATCGAACTTTAATCACTCACTCAGTTGAGGTCAATCTGACTGTTCTTGACCAATCAATCAAACCGATAGTAATGTGATAATACTTGTAAATAGCCAAAAAAATGCGAAAGTTTTCATCCTTCCCTTTGTTGAGCAGCTTTCGGCCTGTAACATTACTTACCTGCCTATACCTACATAATAAGACATTAATAAAATATAATTTTAATAAATGGACTCTTATAGTAATATAAATGATATGGTTTTGTAAATGTCGTTACTTCTATTAGAGCGAAAATTAGAGCTTATTAATTTGTTGCTCGTTATTCTAATCAGCTAAAAGACGTCCACCAGTGGAAGGGAAAAAATGTTGGGCGAATCAAGTTTAATTAAATAAACATATTTAGATTTTTACTTTGGTACACACAGTAAATTGGTGACCCAAAGACGAACGTGTAAATTAACAAATAAATTTTAAGCATTGGCACACTTTTTGGTAGCTAATATCGATACTAATAATAAAGCTGAAGAGTTTATTTGTTTGAATTTTGAACGCTATAATCTCAGGAACTACTGAAACGTATTGAATTATTCTTTTGTTCAATAGTCCATTTATCGAGAAAGGCTATTTAGCCTACTATATAACATCACGTAGCTATATAACATCACGTTACGGCTTATAGGAGGGAACAACGAAAAATATTGCAAAAACGGGAGAATATTTTACTTTTTTTAAAGCTTTTCTTGCGTGAGCTGCGTAAGGGGTAAAAGCTGCGCAAAAATCATGTATTTCAAAATTGATCCCTCTTAGAGGTTTAAATTTTTCGAAGAATATAATTTAATCGGGAATTGTTAATCAGGCAAAAATAAAAGATACAATTACCAGTTTTCGCTAGATGACGCTAATGTATTATTAAAACGTTTTGATTTCTTTAATGTTTTTGTCGTCTTTATTCTTTTCCTATTTTTATCAAATAAAGTTGCTTTCATTTTTAATTTAGCGGTATTATACTCAACAAGGAACCCTTATAGTTTCGTCATGTCCGTCTGTCTGTCCGTAGGTCGGAAAAGTATAATTTAGCATGGAGTATACTTTAATATTAATATTAAGATATAGGGACAGAGAAAGCGACTTTGTTTTATACTATGTAGTGATAAAGCAATAGTAATCAGATATCAACAGCGGAGCTAACTTATTTATTTAATTACTGATGTACACAAAGTTACAGCTGCTATACGAACAGTATCAGACACAATCAACCTATTTGAAATCAGTGCATTGAACTGAAATATTGTTGTTTACCTACAAAATATAGCCCGTCGTTATGCATCGAATTTATAACAGGTATATTTTTAGGCCGCTAATAGTCATAGTAGGTATTATTCTTACTAAATTCGTAATGTCCAGTGCAAAAAACATTCTTTGCTTATTTGCATTCAAAGCTGAAGTACAAACAATACAATTTCTAGAAAGAAACAGTATTAGCAAAAGCGATGTCTCCTGAATTTTCGAGAACATACTAGATTTTTAAATGCGCACTGGATCAATACAACAGCTGACTTCTGACTGTTCTCAACGAAAACACACGCACACATGCACAGGTGATACAGTTATGTTACGAATTGTCGACTGTTCACGATGTTTCGAGAATTCTCTACCTATCGCTAGATGTCGCGCATACTATATAAAAGCGAGCCGGCCGGCTAACCGTCATGATACTTTGGAACAAGTTCTACGAGTGCAAACAGCTCTGCGCAATAACTGCGAACACTGCGATATTTTGGAGTATTATAAAGTGATCGACTATAATTATAGCAAAAATGTCTCTACTGCCATTTATTATGGGTTACGATCATCCTCACCGATTGATAGATCAAGATTTCGGCTTGGCGCTTACTCCGGATGATTTGTTGACGGCTGCTGTGTCCCCAATGCTGTCTCGCGACTACTTCAGGCCATGGCGTCAACTAGCTGCAGCTACTAGAGACATCGGATCTACAATTAAGTCCGATAAAGACAAATTCCAAGTCAATCTCGATGTGCAGCATTTTGCCCCGGAAGAGATTTCTGTCAAGACGGCTGACGGTTACGTTGTTATCGAAGGCAAGCATGAGGAAAAGAAAGACGATCACGGATATATCTCACGCCAATTCACGCGCCGCTATGCCTTGCCAGAAGGATGCAATCCTGAGACTGTAGAATCTAAGCTATCATCTGATGGCGTACTGACTATCGTAGCACCAAGAGTGGCTCCAGCTTTGAAGAATGAAAGGAGCATCCCGATATCTCAGACCGGACCAGTAAGGAAGGAAATCAAAGACAAGACCTCGCAAGCCAATGCAAATGGAGCCGAGTAATCACTTAGAACCCTGTGATGATAATAACTCTTGATTTGTGCTTATTTTACGTGCTTACAGCATGTGTGTATTTTTTGTAATAAGACTGAAATGCTTGTTTAAATAAATCCTCTTTTTTTTCTTTAAGTACATAGTTGTTTTATTTTATACAAAATTTAGATTAGCACGAAAAATATTTTAAAATCTAAAATTCAGATCAGAATGAATGGGAAAAATGATAAATAACCCGATGTGTTCTTGTTATTTATTAATTAATCTGTTATATTAAAATTATTCTGTTATATACAAAAATTACTAGAAAAAATCGTATTTACGTGGTAAGTTTTTTCATTATGTATTTATTGTTAGCAATATCTGGACATTTTATTAAAACTAAAATTGTCTAACTGAACATTCGTACTTACGTAGGGTTTCATACAAAACAAATGAAAATTTAGCAGCCGTGTGTCACTGACGTTCAGTAACAACATGATTCATGTTATTAAACGTTAAATTCTCTGAAGATTTTTATCTTTTTGGTAACGACTAAATAATCATAACAATCATATAACTTAGTTAATACAAATCTTAACTAAAGTTGTCTTTACGGCAGCACAATACACTGCATTATTTACATATATTTTATAATCATCACTATCACTATATATTGTTATTATCACTACATATTATAAAACAAAGACCCCCGCCGCTTCTGTCTGTCGAACTCGAAAAGTACCTACTCTACGTATTTTCATGCGGTTTTCAACAATAGATAGAGCAATTCTTGGAGAAGGTTTTAGTGTAAAGTAAGTTTAGGTTTTGTTTAAACTGAGGATATAGTTCAATATGTCGGAAAAAATAAAACCGATCGGGAGCTTTCCTCGGAACTTTTGAATTATAACAAAACAATGTGTATGGTGGAATTAATAGATCTACAAAAAAGTCCGCGATGGTATATACCATATGTCTATCTTCCAAGAATAGCCAATAATAACTATTTATTTGCGTTTACTTAAAACAGTGAAATGATGTATTATTTACGAAGCTATTTTTAATGATACGTTATGTCTTAATCGTATTCGGCGCCCGGGTTCGAAAGCCAATCATGCGCCCCCTTTTTCAAAAATTTTGTGAAAATTAATTTCTTGTTGTATAGACTGCGAGAATAAAAATTAGAAAAGCTAACAGATCACATCAATAAGTATTTTTTGTCATGTCTCTGGCATTTGTTATGTTCGCAAGTCGCACGTTTTGTGTTGTTTTGTCTTTCTAACATTATTTACTCATTTTAAAATAAAAGCTATTATCATAATTAATATTATACTCATTTATAATTTTAACACCAGTCATTTACATACACATTACATTATTATTTCAACTTTTCTAGATTTCATGTTTGCAAACTTTTCAATGATTGTGTAAAATAAGAAAGATTTCTTTTTTAACAGTATAATTGGCGTGGTGCGGCGACGCGCATTAGAAACAAACACTTTCTTTGACTTTGACCGACTTTATAAGTACTTATGTACATACATATATCGTAAATTTATAGCCACATTTGGTTCGGTAAGGTTAGTTAGGAAGATCGCACTATCACCTATATTGTAATCTTTGATCACCTAGATCAGCCACCCTCTCGAGCGCCCGGCTGGCGCCCCTCGCTCTTATGGCTAAGACGCCCCTGTATGCATGTAATGTGGATCAAAATTGCCCTTTACATTGCCCTTTATATAAAAAAAAAATATATAAGAAACTAATGAGTTATCGAAAAATAAAAATCGACGGGCGAGAAATTAAATAAATAGATGAATAAAAATGAATCGCTCAAATGTATGTTCGCGCGCATAGCTTCCGAATTCCAGTTCCGACTGAATGAAATTGGATGATTCTATTTTTTGTGTTCCACGATTCGTGATACGATTTGTATATAAGACTTTAAAAAAAAATGGGTGTAAGGTGGTACGTAGTTGGCCGGGTCATCTAGTGTAATAATAATAATTTAACTAAGTTTATCTAAAAACAGCTAGATATCAAAACAATTCTGAGAATACAAAAATATTTATTTTATCAAAGTTTAAAAGCGCAGGTACTTCTACTTCGATTAGTTTTCTTTAATGGCTTACTTGTGTACTATGCATATTCCGACTATAGGCAAACATATTTTAGAGTAGCCGCGAAGCTAAAACATTTCCTGTTCATAGATAGATACATCTGTAGATAGTAACAGAAGATTTTAATAACTCGCAAAATATTGTTATTGTAGAAATGTTGCATGATACCCTTAGCTTCAGTGTGACTCACATTTTTATTAATTGTTCTTATAAAAAAGGATATAGGTAAATACTAAGATGAAGAATGCGCTGAATTTTAAGGATATCTTTGTAATTTTTTCTAACGAAAAAATTTTATGTATTCACGTTGTGACTCTGACAGAACTCTCACAAATATGATGAAGTTTTCTCATTTTGCATTATCAACCAGTTAATAGTTAGTACTTTTAGGTGCTATGATTTAATAAAAAAATACTCAAAAAATCTTGGTACTGTGAGACGGGATCCCATCGACAGGGACAAAGTGGATGTTTTAAGCATTATGTATTAAGAATATTTTCCAGTATAGCATTGTGAATGCAAAATTGATCAAATATAGTACTTTATTTGCGAATTCTAAATGTGAGAACGTTTTCAGAAATGCTTAGTGATATGGTCGAGAAAGATCAGTGATGTACAGGCGTACCCACCTCATACATATTTGTTTTATTCGAACAAGGTTTATTTATGCTAAGATTGCAATTTTAGTGTTAGTTCAAATTCATATTCTACAGATAATAAGCAAACCTACTAGTTTCTAAGAGAAATAATACACCTGTGAACTCCTACTGAATGCAGTCTCAGCGTAAATTTACTCTTACGCTAAAACTTGTGTATTAATAACACTGCGACCGTTTATCATGTCAAAACATTTTTCACTGGTACTTAAAGGTACAGGTAGGTATTATACTTTTGTAAGATACTTACATAAGTAATTAATAATGCACTCTTTGCTGGGCACAGACCTTTTCTTAGCATCTTATTAATCCATGAGCGACCCTTGCGAAAGTTGCTTAACTACCGCATCGCCGGCCAAAACGCGCTAATCACTGCACTATCCAACTCCATTTCCTATTGTAGCGTCACAAGGTATATTGTTAATTCCTGATAATAAAAGTGTTGATTCGGTAGGTTGATACATCGTCACTGTACCGATGTGAAGCCACGGCTGCCCTCTGCCACATTAGGAGCGAATGCTTTTTGTTTTAACTTTAAATATGATATGTACGTTTAAGTAAAAAATATAGAACTATAAAGTTTTCATTCATTCCCATTATTTTATCACCAACAACCTTTTGGCAATATTAGTAGGTAATTGGAACCAGAACAATATTTTCATAAAGTTGTCATTATACGTTACAAAAATACTCGATCTCAGACTATGAATGGGATCAACTAATGACGAACAGGCCATACCTTGCTACGATGGCTCAGTAAGGATTTGAGGGCCATTTAAATAAACCTATCCAATACATATGCGAAACTTTCATGCGAGTTTATTAACTGACCTAGTTATCAAAGTTTCTTAATAAGTATTGTGTTATTCCTATATATCGTCTTGCAGATAAAATTACTTTTCACCTTTTAAAGTTTTTGTAATTATTTAATTATTTTTAGTTTCGCCGTATAAAGTATAGTATAGTTTCATAAGTAAAGTTCATTTGTTAGTGGTGGGTGAAAAATATAAAAAAAGAAACTTAATAAAAAAAGAACTTATTTATTTTAATTATCTCAGTTCAGTCTTATTATTGTGACTAATAGGAAACTTAAAATGAGTCATGGTTGATATTTATCCGGCGCACTTCTCACTGTTAGACATACAAGAACCTTTTTCGGCTTCAGCTTTAGTAGAGGCATCCTTGCGGACGGGACCAGTCTTTGTTATTGGCACGACTCTCTCACCTTTATCGTCTATCTCCTTCCTGGGAGCGGTTATAGTCAGAATACCATCGCTGGAAAGCTCCGATACGATGTTTTCAGACTCCGCACCTTTAGGCAATGCGTATTTCCTCACAAACTGTCTCGACACGATGCCGTGCTCGTCTTGTTTCTCTTCATGCTTCGCTTCTATCACCACATACCCATCAGCAGTCTTCACGGTTATTTCTTCCGGCCCGAAATGTTGTACGTCTAAATTGATTTGGAATTTATCCTTGTCAGCTTTAATTGTAGAGCCTAGATCTTTTGCGAGAGCAGCCATGTGTCTCCAGGGTCGGAAGTAGTCGTGAACGATCCATGGTGTCATCATTGAAGTCAGAAAATCATCCGGTGTCAACGCCATACCAAACGCTTGGTCCACTAATCTATTATTTTTCTCCGGACACGACGAATCTTCTTCACCCAAAACTTTCCTTGTACCGATTCCGAAAAATACAATCGCCAACGCCAAAAAATACGAGAAACCTCCGAAAACTTTCATTTTCGCGTGTTCAAGTGAAAAAGCGTACAATTAACTCGTTCTCTTTGTGAGCACTTGTCTTTACGAATTGATTGAACTGCGCGCGTTTCTACGGCTTATATACCCGTTCCGACATCTAGCGGCGAGTAGAAAATTCTCGAACGTAGCTTCACTGTGTGTCGACTGACGTGTTTCACTGCACAACAACCACGTTGTTATAGTTGTGTTGTGATCCATTTGTTATCAATATGGATGCCGGCCGGTGTCCTTTCTTTGACATTTTTTACTTACAATACGATACTTTTTAATATTATTTATATAAAAGACATTAGAACTAACTACAAGTAAGAGTTTAATTTTGCATTCACTGCCTATTGAACCTCTACAAAAAAAGTTACCTTAATATTTTTTTAATTTCCTTCCAAGTTCATCATCTTACTTTATTTAATAGGATATTATGATTTATTATTTTAAAATAGATACTTTGTAAAATATAAAATATATACCAAATAGCTTGCAAATAGCCAAAGTGCAAGTCTTAGCAAGTAGCCTTAAATACCTTCCTTTGACTTTTAATTAACGTCTTATTTTGTGGTTTATTTTATATCTGAATAGTATATGTTGTTCTTTTTACAGATAGATGATCATTATATGTTTAAATAATGTTGGCTATGAGATGAGATAGGTGTAGGCATGGTGTAGGTAAGTTAAACGATAAACTACCGAATACGCGTGGCGCCATCTATTATCGAGTAGGGTTTTATTTTATAAAAATTTGATTTTATTTGCTGAAAAGATGTAATACCTATCTAACGTACGAATTAAACACGTCAAATTGATTTTATTTCAATATGATCAATGTTAAATTATAATCTAGAATTTTCGAGATGTGTCTCCATGATGTAACCTAAAACAATCAAATTTCTAGAAACTTGTTGATGTTTCCAAAGACTGGAATGCTCGGTATTCACACCGCGTATTGAATTTTCTTTGCAGCCTAGGTATTGGTTGATAATGATAACTCTATCAATATCAATTTGGCATGTTGAGCAAAAAATCTTTTTAATCTTAAGCTTTATAAAAAATCGAATAATAATTGTATTGCCCAATATAAAATGATTGAATTTTCTTAAAATGGTCCATATCTTTATTTATGCGACAAAGTAACCTATGTGTAGAACCGTAGAGTTGGGTATTTCATAAAAATAACTAGCTAGTTTCCCGTGACTTCTCCCGTATTAAGGTGATGACAAAGTTTTGTCTGTCTGTCAGGTAGATTATTGAAGAATATGATACATGTACCTATTTTTATTTTTTGCATAATCAATAAATTACAGCGATACATTGAATTAAAATTCAAAATGTCAAAGCTATGGCGTAGTGAGCTCCCACTCCTCAACTTTAAGGCCTGATATGTATTTTTTTGATAAATTGAAGCAAAAAAAAAATAGAAAAATATGTACCTTATATTTCTCTATTGTCTGGTCGACGGACTAGTATGATGTAGCTTCCCTTTTCCGAAGATTACCCCCTACGAAGTTCGAAACTGTCTCATGATAATGTTAGTACTATAGATGTTATGACTTGCTTTAGATTATATAACTACATATAAAACTGAAGCTTTAAGACAATAGCAGCCTAAATAGAATAAAACATCAAAAATACTTTAAGGCACTGTATTTAATTATTTTTCGATTTATCAATAATTTTTAAATTTAAAATATTCAAATTTGGTAGGGTATTCTACAAGTGATTCCCTTTTCCTTCTGATTTATTTATTCTCTTCTTTTTTATTATCATAACTAAGTCATATTTTTAAAATTGATCCATTCAAAAATTATTCGAGTAGAAAATATAAATCTTGAAACATTCTTTTTGGTTAAGTTTGTAAAATTCGAACTTACAGTTTCTGCCATACTTGGTCATTGAAGCTCTTGAAGACAATAAATTGATTAATTAGCCGTAACAATTCCCACAGCAAGTTTTGCCAGTCAGGTCATCTACGCTTCAACCTGTCCTCTTCAGGGCAGGGTAGTTGTAGAGCCCTGGTTTAAGGTTCAAGATGCATTTTCCCTGCATTACCCAAGAGGGAGGCGCTGCCAGACCGACGTCACAATGTATTATTGTTTCAAGCGCCATGAAACTTGATCAAATAGCGAAGAAAAATAATTAAATATTGGGCAGGATGTCGGTTAATACATTTTGCTCGTGAGCCTTCGATATATGATGGTCAATTAAAACGCAGATATATTTTCTAAATAATGGTATATTTTCAAAAATATTGTATTACACGACCTGCATTATCTATTTACAAATTTAAAAAAAAACAATAAAATTAAATTTTCACTTTCATCAAAGCTTAGATACAAATTAAATTAAACATAATTATAGGAGGCCTGCAAATTGCTGTACTTACGAATAATATTTACAAAACAAATACAAAACTTATAAATTCCACATTTTAGAGATATTTTCAGGTTTTTTTTGTAAATAAAATCTTATTTCAACATTTTTTTAACATGCGGAAAAATAGAAATTAATTCAATTTTTAATTACCAACGATACACAGTATTTCGTTTTCAATGAGACGTTTATATCAATTCATTAAATAATCGTACATTATTCTCTTGAATATGACGTTAAATTACTTGGGATATAATTAACACTGTTCCAAAACCACAATTTTCCATAGAACACATAACATATGAGTAAAGCGACATTTAGGTAGGTGCTATTTCGTGTGAATTGTTATACTTACAAAAAGCGTACATCCTACTACAATAATATGCATTTCGAGTGACACCGGCTAGATTTCAAGTAGAACTTAAATGCTGTTAAATTAATTTAAAAAAAATTGGAATGCGTAAAAATTAGGCCGTGATCTATTAATGTATTCTTTTTAATGCTTTTTAATTTGTAATATAATTTTGAATTATAAAGATTAGGATTAATTAGTTTTGTGTGTTAGTTCATAATGCTATTAATGTTGAAATAATATGATTCGATTATAAGCCTTGTTATTACAGAACCTTACATTAATTTTCTTATTCATCCTGAAATCCAGCAGATGTATGTTAACTGAGCTTGTTTGTTGACAACATTCACATCTAAGCTTATACTGGGAAATATTAACAACTAAATCACAATGACAAAAAAAAAGAAGTTTCAGGATATATTTTTTAAATCTTTATAACACGTTTAACTTTTTATTCTTCAATATTAAAAATGATTATTTAAAAGTCAATGAACATGTAAGTTACAAGAAGTAACTTATGGGAATTCCCAGTACTAACTTAGATGTATTAAATATTGCAAAAAGCGAAACGAAAGATTATTTTCATTTATTTAGGATAAAAATAAATAGATTCTAATTTGATCCTAGGCCAATATTACAACTTGCAAGAAAGTAAGTCAATAAAGGATAAAAGTATAACTCTTGACTTCTCATCGCATATTTATTATACAAAAAGTACGTTAATAATTTAATAAGTCATTTATTTGCGATATTTGATAAGCTCTGTTCCAAAAATCCATTTATTTACTATCTTTTGAGTGCTACAGTGGCCTAGGAATCAAATCTATGATTAAACACAGACACACAGCAGTACATCAAATTACCACAATATAAAATCTTCGAAGTTGATTTTGAAGTCTAGACTCAATGAATTAAGGTTTAACATCAAGTGGAAGAACTAGACAGTTTTGTATAACCAGACATGCTGTCGACTGTACTAATCACGAAAATATATGTATTAAATTTCGAACCCCGAACATTTGTTTTCTGTACTTGATATGGGTAGGATCTCTGGGTCGTCACAGCCGTAATGAAGTAATGTTTGAGAGTTTAAAACAGAATAATTACCAAAATCAAAGTTTTCTCGTATAATTCTTTCGCCTCGCTTCGTACAATGAGGGCCAATGCAGACGACGGATCTCACAGACGAAACGCTGTTCTGGACCTCTCTTTTTTTCTACTTGGTCAAAAAGAGAGGTCGATACAGCTTCACACGGAAAATCCCACGTCATCACAGGCTCTTACAGTTGTTTATTCTAACTTACTATCTATTTTCAATTAAACAAAGTCATAACATCCCTACGTTTTCTATATAGTTACAAAAAGCTAAAATAAAAAGCACATAATCAGTCACTCCGCCCTCCCCGACTTGCACGCGAAGCCAATGCTTAATCAAACTCAATAAAACACTATCAAAGAGACCATGGAAAATGTTATTTTGTGCGCGTTAGATTAGAAGCTTTATTATTTTGTAAATAAAAAGTTAACTAACTAATCGATACAGAAAACTATAATATTTTTATGTATTCAACAAATTGTTACTCAAATACAAAAATTTTAACTTCTTTGGTAATATTCTACATTACAAATATAAGTCCAAATATTGTTGACAGATTGACTCTATCTGCCGGGCTATGCTATTTCTTGTATTGATATTATGTAAATGTTCATATTAGTACACACAAGTTTCTGCAATCAATTTTAAATTCTAAAGTGCAAGATTTAAGGTTCGAAACTTATTGCAGAAAATTTATCAGATTCGAATAACGCCATTGATTGTACAGTAATCGGTACTCAAATAGAACTTTGTTTGTCCTTTACACTACGTGACAAACCAAAGTAAAGTCTCAAACAAGATAAAGTTTCAGGAGATCAAATGTAAAATAACCTTCAAAACTACATTGTGCGTAAGTGTTAATCCATAAGCTCTTATTTCCAGCTCTCAGAGGATGAATAAACGCTTCTTGTAGCTAAGTCGGTGACTCTATATACACTAATAATATGAACACGCCCTTACGTAATTTGTGATATTTATTTAAATATTATTGGGCGCTTTTGTTTAAGTTTTTTGATAAATAAACTAAAATTTTAAAGCCATATAGCCCCATTTAGCTTTCCCATTAATATATTAGGAAAATTTCAGTTCATTTGTGCAATTCATATAGAATAATTTAGATGATAAATGTTGAATAAGCAGTTTCGCAGCTTTGGAACTTAATACACAACCGATTTGCGATAGAGTTCAAATTTAAAATATGTTAATATTAAATACTCTCTGAAAGAAGGAATTAAATGAGGGAAGAGGACAAAATCGTCAGTGGTAATCGCTTTCCGTTACTACTATGTCAGGCAAAACTCAATACTAAAACGTGTGTCACTACGGTTCCCATAATGCCTGCGAATGAGGACATAGAGTGCCATGAACTTGCAGAGTAACGTCACGAGAAGATATTTTTGAGAATGAATTTGGAAAATTTAATCAAAGTATTTGTTTCCTTTTTTTTTATTCCAGCCGGGTCCAGAACTGATGGTGTTGATGTTACTTTAACTTTGCTTTGAATTATGAGCCAAATAAGTATAGGACTACAACTTCAGGGTGTAAGGTAAGCAAAATTGAACATATATTTTTTTTTTTATAAATCATGCATTTTTGTAGCAATATAATCAATTACGGCATACTGATATTTGTAATTAAACCCGAAGTCATAAAATCGCGATGCGTTTCAAGTAGTCGATGTGAACGTTGCGACATAAAATGTCATCTTCATATTTAGTAATAAAGAAAAAGCCAAAATGTCAATTGAGAAAATATATTTTAAAAATTCTTGATTAAGTTATGTCGATACTAATAATAAAACTAATAATATATGTATGAAGTTCAACGAATCTAAAAAATAGTGATCTTAATATATTTGCTGCCTGTAATTAAATGACAGCTAATCCCGATCCGATCCAAAACCCGATCCTATTCTTATTTGGCTGACATAATACGATAAAGTATTTTTTTTTTTTGTAAAACAAAATGTATAATAAAACATGGGATCGACGTGCAAGTCCGCATAATTTCGCCACTATAATGGCACCATAAATTACCACAGGCCGTGGCACTCGCAATGTGATGTTCGTTTTGTATAAATTGAATTAATATAAATAATAATCATACAAAAATACTTGGTGAAAAACAAACTGTCTCAGTTGCCAAAAATTTTACTATTTGTGGTACAATTCTTTGAAGTATGAAAAGTGTCAAGAAGCACTTATTAAACTCGGTTTAATTAGTTGTTTTTTATTTGTATGCAACTGTAGATGACCAGGGGCTGGGGGTTTATGAGAAATTTTCACCCCGTTATAATATATTTAATTATAAATATGCACCCGTGATCGTACTCAAAACTAAAACTACCGCCATGGACAAATACTCGGGTGTGTGTAGTTAATTAAATAACTTAAAACAAGGTATTAAGACTTCATATAAAATCATCCGTATTTTGGAACATTCAACACACCCGGCCAGCTGCTTTATGTCCATCCAATCAGAAAAGTTTGCCAGTTCTTTTCCTTTTTCAAGAATTTTTCTACGATAAAAATAAGATAGCACTGTGAATACGATATTCACTAAAAATAAACATTAAATAAAAAAAAATCAGGTACACAATATTTATAAAATATCAAAACTATTACAGTATTAACCTGGAACCGATCCAGATACTTTAAAGAGATAGACATCAAACTTTCTCGAGCCCAATGGAGCAGTCTTTCAATAACAGTATTTATTATTTTATTACTACATTGTATTATTTTATTCACTGATGATGTTAAAAAACTTAGTTAATTAACATGAATTCGTTAGTTTTACCGCCTTACACTTACACGATGGCGTTAATGTAATAAATTTGTCAATTTTATTACAAAAATGTCCACATTTATTTAAAGAAAAATGTTTATATTTTTGATTAAATTGAAACGTATCTCGACTTAAACGAAATTTTTTTAATTAAGACAAAATTGATTTATTTCTGTAATCTGTGTTCCTACTTAAATACAAATGATATCGTGAATAAAAGTATATGAACACTTTCATTACTGAAAAGAATCTTTAAATTACAACATTAACGCTATCTATTAACAGCCGGAAACAATAAAATCGTGACGTTATATCTCAACTAATAAATATCAGTAAGGTAACCAAATGAAAAGAACGCAATATTTAATATATCAAAACGAACACCGCAATACCACATGAATGAATATAACCATTCTCTCTCGTTCTCAATATCAACAGAGTGTATATTTTTATTTAGCTCATACAAAATCTAGTTACATTAACTTACTGACTACACATATATACGTTAAACAGTCGTATATGGGCAAGACAACATAAGTCTTGCTTTTTACATTTAATTACGAAAAATAATAATAATAATCAATAATATTAATAATAGTAAATACATCAAAAAATGTTGCCATAAGGGCCGGTGCACACTGAGACTCCAATATCGATTCTTCCCATTCGCTCCAATATAAAAAAAGCTTACATATTTACAAAGTACAGAACTGCTTTCTTTTTTTTTTCAATGCAGCTTGCGCACCTTTATTAAAAATTGTGCTAATAGTAAGGTATTCTTTTGTTATTTGGCCTTAACTTCTTTTTTAAAAAAGGTCTTTTTAAAAAACCCCCTATAATTAAATATAAAAAAAGTCTTATACAATGACTCGTTATAAAATAATCTAAGTTGGATACAAATGCATAATTATATGGCCTCTTCCGTTATCAAAATAAATATTATGTAGATTTTTTATTTTTTTAATTAACCTCTTTCCTCGCAATGATATTTTTTTATCATTTAACCCTCTCTTTGGACACGATTTCATTTTGGTATATTTTAATACCAAATACTAATAATAAATGTCTAATATTATATTATATTATAACAAGACAGATCTATTCATAGATTCACAAATTAAACGATGGATTTTTTATTTTGCACATAATAAAATACATGTTTCAGTTTTATTAATCCATCAGAAAACTTGTGTTGGGAAAGGTAGGAAATAATTAAACATATACAAAATATAGCCATATCACATGTTTCATAGAAATAGGTATCTATTTTTTTATTTGAGCCTACTGAAACATTAATTGTATTGTGTATCAACTAGTTTATTTTCAAAACACACCAAGAATTATTGGTGTTTGGGCATTAAGTCTAATTTTGTACATAAAACTTAAATAAATACATATGTACCGAAACTTTGCAGTTTTATCACTAGTAAATTTGAATGTGCGTATTGATAAAATCACAAGAGATCAAATATAAAAATATTTTTTTCTAGACAAACCTGTTCGTAAAGGTAAACTATTTTGATATATCATTTTTTGATTTGGTGATAGGAGGTAAAATAACAATCAGAAATTTGTAGGTCTCATAATTTAAATACAATTTTATAATAACTGCAATACAGATATAGTTTATTTTTTAATTATTTTAATTAGGGTTTGGAATACTTTTGTCCTTGTTGCATCCGCTATAAATTACTATGTTATGATATCAAACGGCCAAACAAAAGTAAGATTAGTCTTGTTCTGTTGATTTTGAAGTGATATGGTTTTTAAGTTGTATAGGTTTAATTCTTGCCACCGTGTAAATATGAAAAGCGTAGCTACATCTGGCGTATAACATAGCCATTGAAATCATCAAAGCTATATATAATAAGCAATCGCGGATTCATTAACCTATCTAAATACTATAGAAAACAATAAAGAATTCAGACGTTCTCACTTTAAAGAAGTACTTATTTAAAAAAATAATTAACGATACATAAGAAATGATATATTTAATTGATACATCTAGAATTAAATTCACGAGAAACGGCAACATAAGGAAATAATAATAACTAAAATCATCTAAGATATATTTGTATATACTCTGAAAGTAGTGTTTAATATTCAAAAAGTTCTTTATGGTCATTATTTTATCTATGCTCAATACTTCTATTTCTAGATTAGATAAAGTACGTAGCAAACATGTATTTTGACGAAATCTTGGGAAAATAAGATGTTTGTTTACTCATCAGTGACAAAAAACAAACTTGGATATTTAAGATCCCTAATTTGTAAAAACGACTACCCTAACTGAAAGCATTCAAAAGTAATCATTTTTAACTGTTAAATAAAATTGGTAACTCACGCCGCGGTACTTGTTTACATACATTTGCTCAACATTTAATGGGGATAACATTATCACTCAAATAATATATACTCTTGATTCCTGTACAGTATTTGAGTGATTATGTTACCCGTGTATCCGCAATCCGCGTAGCTATACTATACTGTTATATAACAACCACAAACCCCTAACCCTTAAGTGAAGACCCTTTTATCAACATTTTCTCCGTTACTCTCAAGAATATTTATGTTAAATATAATATGACGTAACTTAGCGTGACGTCATATTTTATATTTAATGACGTCATAGTATATTTCATAAGTGCCAATTTTAATTAATAGCTCTCGGTATCCAAACGATTATTAGGCGTAAATTCTCTGATTCTTGTACAGTGTTATTAAATTATTTCGGGACATTCACACATTTTGAGCACTATTTAAAAGTGAACATTTGCAAATATATTTTTTTAAGTCGTTTTTTCATGTTATCTCATATTTCATTTCATAGCTCTGAAATTAGGAAGAAAACCGTACGTAGAGGTGTACTAAGAAATGTATAACCAGTACGTTGCAAATCTAAAATGAGATCAGTGAATAAGAATGTGAATAAATTTTCAAATCTTATTAATTCCTTACACCCAATGTTGTTAACTTCTGCATTGACGACTTTGATGTACCAGGAATCACGCAAAGACAACCTGTCTCGTTATTACTCGCGATATTCAATCGTGAACGTAATGTCACTCAGCAACTGTTTCGTTGGCTTTACTTTTTTACTGATAAACTTTTCGCATGATTGATAGATATTGCTGATTGATCTTGTTACTAAATTCAGAGCTGTTAATTACACATATGACAGTTCAGTTTCTAGCAATACACGTTAATATGGGGCATTTTAGCCGAACATTGATTATTATTTAAAAGCACACGGCTCTAGAAATGTTTTTGTAAAGGTGTATTAATTCATAATGATTTTATCTTAAACATATGATACTATCAATACAGTTTCCACATGTTTTTTTTTATAATACCACCGAACGAATCTTATATTTTAACTGATAATCTTTGAGAGACAATCATTTTAAATTAACCGAATACTTTATTTATTTAGTCAAGTTTTTGTTCATAAGAAAATAAATGATTACATTTTAAATATACGAAATTCCTATTCCGAACTAATGTTTCCGACAACCATTTTATATCATAAACAAATATTAAAGTTTATGATATAAATAGATTTATGTCATTCGCTTTTAAAACATATAAACCGAATGACATGAATATTTTATTAAATGCTTTGTCTACCAAATTTTGTCTTTCAATGTAAGGATTGTCGAGACAATTGAGAAGGAGTATTAATCAATTTATCCCTAGTTTACATCCTAGTTTAAGATCGATACATTAGCTACAAGTTTAAGGTCATTCACAGCTAAATTTTTCTGTAGACTGTAGCCTATGTTTTAATATATAGTCAAATGAGACAATTTTGCGTCCAGTTTAACTGTCCTCGAGCAAATTGTGAAGCTCAGCATAATTCAATATGGCACGGTGTAGGAATTCATATTGTAACTGGAAATAGAAAAAACTCATATAATAATAACTTAGATTTAAAGTAGATGAGAGCTGCCTTAAATTGTGGTTATTTTAAAAGGTCAATATTAATTTTTCTCTCAATATAGTGGAACACTCAGAATGCGTATAGAATGTAGCTAGTAAGAAAACAAATAGTATGGCACGCACAGAGGCTAAATTTCAAATCACAGCAAACATCATCCAATCAGAATAATTCCAAGTACCCGCGTCTTCGCCTGAGTAAATTATAGCCTACGTCACTCGCGAACATTGTTACTTTCCGTAGGTGAGAGAATATTTATAATCAGATCAGTATTTCCGAAGATTAACGCTTACAAACAAAACCTCTCTATAATACTAGTATAGATAATACTCACGAAGGTGTCTATGGTTCTCGCCCGCTGTGAGCGCACTTTACGCGCCACGCTGTTCACATCGACGCGTCGTTCTACGCGTAACTGACAGATCAGTATGCATAGAGCCACAAATAAAGCCGACCGCTCCGTGCCCAAGCTGCGGATCAAACAATACGACACAACCGTAATGAACCTGGACATAAAAAAGGTTGCGAAACTTTTTTTTTGTGTTGAAGCCCTCCAAAATATTATAAATAAACCGGCAAAATGCGAGTCGGACTCGCGCGATTGTTGTATGGGAGCTATTTATTTTACCCTAATATTCTATCCTTCTTTAATATACGAATTTATTAATTCAATAGAATGGTACAGTGCTCGATGAAGTTACTACGAAAATGGTTTTAAGACTACCTACGCCTCAAACATGTTTTTTTTTTCCTAAATGCAAATATGAGCTTTCTCGGTTCGAGAGCTAATAAATATATAAGTCAGGACCATTTGGTTATAACACTATTGGTTGGTAGTTGCACAAAAAAATTAATTGTCCCCAAGTCTGTACTTAAGTAAGTAGTCTGAGACAGCACGTTTATTACTTATGATCTAAAAAGTTGCTAGCAATAACTCTAGTCGCAGTATAACGTTGCAGAATGCCTCGATGTTAGTAGTCTATAAGTTATAGTTGTGTAGATGGAGTAACCATACTCTGCTTTTGACTTAATCACTCAAAGGCAAAAAAAAATCTATTTAGTCCGTCAGTCAGATAATAAAAAAAATATTAGATATGTATATTCATATCATCATACTCATATTCTACTTGTAATTTTTCGTATTTGTATTGATATCTAAGTTTTTAGCTTTCAAATTTGAGTTGTTTAATATGTTAGTAGTTAGGAAAGACAGTAATTTCCGTTCCTTTAGAACGGAAATTAAATTAGTTTCCTGCAAAAATTCACATTTGCTAGAGTCACCATCTACTGGAGGTGCTTTTTAGTGCTTTCGTTATTTTTTTTAAATACTTCCTCAATGACAGGTTACGCATAAAATAAAAAATACCTGTTTAATTTTAAATAATAATTTTTCGAAAAATTTAGTAATGAACAAACAGATAAGTCATCATGCTTACTAAACCTGGTTAGTAACAGACAGGTACTCACTGGCAATGCACGAGCATGGGTGGGGCGTGGGCGTGATGTGAGCGCGCGGCGTCCGCTAGTTCAGCAACGCCCCGCGTCACCTCGGGCACGTGGCCCGGAGCCGTCGGCCAGCCCTGGTACTGCAACTGGCGTACTGATATCGTGTCGCCGTTCTAAATGTACATAAACTTTAATGAGGCGGGAGGAAACTTGTACGTAAAGAAAATTGCATCCATAAAGTTTGTAATAAAAAAATAGTAGTTTATGCAACTGTCATATAAGAGGTATGAAAACACGAGTCTCTTTATAATAGATTGACTCGAGTGTTTTAATACCTAAGTTATATGCAGTTTCGTACACTACTTTTAATTTAACTCATAGGAAAAATTGAAATTAAACAAAGTAGGTAGGTTACAAGGAAGTAATTTATATGTGCGCCATTTTTTTCACAGTTCGAACTGCGTATGCGTGCGCCTTTTTTTTTCATATACTTTAATGAGTTTTATGATACAGTTGGCGGTACTGTAATGAGTTTTATTATTAATTTTATGTATTTGCATTTATAAAGTGCATATGTATAGAATCGTCTTTGAATTCTTAATTCGATTTTTTCGATTTGAGTGTAGATAACATATATTTTTCGAAACATGTTGGATGTTAAAAATTATAAATAAATTAAAAAGTGTCGCATAGACGATTTTTACCATTTAATGAATATTCAAATGGCCAATGTCGCTTTTGTTGGATAGCTTCTATCACCTGTTTCAATTTGTCTATAGATCTTATATAGAGATCCTGTATTTAGAGAACTTACTGAATGTAGTATCGTACCATAATCAATAAACGTAGTATAACGTGTGGGAGTTATACTACGTTTATTGACCGATTTTAATTTAAGTTTAGTTTTTATAATAAATTTATTGATGTAAATAGATAGAGTAGTTTCTAAGTTTATCTAATACAGACACAAAGTATAATATAAAATTTATTTTCTTTAAACAAATTGTACAGAAAATAATATTAACGACATTCAAAATGCGTTACAAACTAGGTATTGAATATGGTAACACAACTTAATTCATCCGCCTTTCTCCATTCAACTTGGAGAAATATAAATAAATCAATATAGCGAAAGGTAGATCTCGCAGGGCGATTCCAACTAAATTTAGAAGCACAAAAGTGTATACAGCAAATACTTGGAAAATAAACGCTGTGTCAAGGGGCAGTAGGAAGGTAACAAAATTATCCCAGAACAACGCGGGACACTTACGACTAGCGGCTTATTACCCTGGAATATCGAAGAAACTAAGAGTAATTCCAAACAGACCTTATTATTGGTGACACGGAACTGACGTCGCGTGTAGTAAGGGCACGAATCGCTCTCCTCGTATTGTACGTCGATGTGATCGTACTGCGTTGTACCGTCGTCCCAATACCGAGGACATTTGCCCTCGCCGATCTGAAAATACAAATACTTGTTACAGTGGCAAACTAAGGGTTTGAATACGGAGACTTCTTTATAGGACTGTATTTTTTTCCCCAAGTGAATCAATGCTCGATCGATAGCTATTATATGGTTGTCAATTTGGACAATGACGGCACATTTAAATATCACTAGTAAACAAAGCCGTAACTATACCGTTTGAGGTCCGTGGCAAATTCATCAGATATTCAATTTTTTTACTAATTGCGTAGTAATAAATGTCAAGAGTAATGAGTCTCCTCTGACCGGGGGCCCCTTGGCATTTTGCCTACTTGCCACCCTGTAGTTACGCCACTGCTAGTAGATGACTATTTTTTTTTAAAAGTAGGATGCAAAAAGAAATACTTATACCCAATATTAGGTATAAAGCTTGAGTAAAAACAGAAATTCTATTTAATCCATCAGTCAGATGATAATAGAAAAATATCAGATACATATATTGATTGCTTCAATTTAACAAAAAAATATTTGGACAATAGGCATTAAAGTTGAGTGGAGGCTCGCTACGTTACAACTATGTAGAAAATGTGCAAAGGTGTGATGTCATGCGACATATCAACTCAATGTATTGCCGTAATTTATTTATTACACGAAAAATAAAAAATACGCGTTTAATGATCTTCAATAATCTACTGCCAGAAAGAAAAGAAAATATCATACTTATCAGAATTCTTTTTTTACAATATTTTCACCAACCGGTTTTCGTTTTTTTTTTCTTTTGAGACGCGGTATTTTAAAAGTACTTCATATGTTAATCAATCTTAAGTTGATATCAAAGATGTTATGCGATAGATCTGAAAATAATATATCATACATTTATATACAAACATACCTCGCTGAGCATCACTATGGTAGAGACATTGTGTTCAGAGACCATTCGCCAAAAGTCCGCTATCGTGGTAGGCAGAGGATCTTGTGTGATGATGAACCCTTCAGAATTGTCGTATGCTGGGAAACAGTAATGTATTTGTAATGCTTATAATCATATAAGCCTAAGTATGTCCACTCAGGCACAGGCTTTCACTATGGACGGAATTAAGTCAAATTAGTTGGTAATTTCGGAGCCCAGCTACTGCAGACAAACGCGCAAACAGTCATACATAATAATTAAAAAAGAAAAAAGATGGGAGTGGACGACAAACCAGCCGCGGATCTACGCGTTTTCCTAAACGGGACAGATAGCACGAGTGCGCGCTAGCCCAGTGCAGATTGGTGGGTGTTAACGAATGCATAAGTCCATTGTACTAACTTTTCTACTTAGGCAAAAGGGAAACCTATTCCGATCGCTGCTAATTAACTAATAAGCAGTCCCACCGCATGTATCTTTGAACTTGCATCGCTTTATATTGTTCGAATCGTTCTTTTGAATTTGTTAAAATCAAATTCGTAGATTATCTATGCAACAAAGGCAGAGTCAGGTCCTGCATCCGGTGCATCATAAATTATCCAGAAATGGAATAATATTAGTGTTTCGAAAACAGACAAAATCTTATTTTCGTAGAAACAGAGTAGGTATTATTACCTTCTATAAATGATGCGTTAATATAAGTGGAGAAGTCTCGTCCAGGTAGAGGGGTCAATATAACCCTGTTTCTGTCGTAAGGCAAACAATCGCCGCTTCGATTCTTGGCTCGTACTTCCTCACTGGCCCCGGCCGCGCACGACTTCACCGGCTCCGCTACAGGGTTGTTTATCATTTTCTGTGAATATTATTAGACATCATATACATTTTTCAGATCCAAAGACTTCTATGTTTACTAAACGGGTTATGCGGTACTAAAGAACCGGTCTACGGAAAACGTTTGTTGTATGGGAGCCCCTTAAGTCATTATTTAATTCTATTTTTAGTGTGATTATCGATAATACTACCAGTAAAAAATAGTAATATGTATTTATTTTTGTTTACTGTTTACACCTGTATTTACGCGGTCATTAAAGCCGCTACTACTTTATAATTGGGTTATATTATTTACCTCAAACTCGTGCTCCATGAGACACTTGTCATCACCTTCGGGCGTATTCCTCAGTCGGTCGATGGAGGCCTTCAGTCGGGATGCGGGAATCTCCGTGTCGCCGTAGTGAGCGTACTCAACCAACGCCCGGTACACGAACACGTATTGTTTCTGTTCAATACTTAATGTTTTAGAACCGAAACCATTTTATTTTATTGTTAGAGGTAAGGTAGAGGTACAGAATATAAATGGTACATTATCATCGGCCTATCGAAGATTATATCGGAATATTTTGTGTATTAAAAATTGATTTTTAACCGCAATAACAATTCAAAAAATGATCCATAAAACTTCATAAAGATAGTGAAAGGTCGTGAGTTCGAGTCCCACAGGGTTACCTGGATTTTTTAAACACTACTTGGTTTTAAGCATTGGCCGTCTAAAGCAAATTGACTGCAAATGAAAAATGGCAAAAGAAAAAAGTCAAATTGAGACATGTTGTCTTATTTTGGTCAGATAAATTGTAACAGGAACACTACAAACAAATCTATATGAATAATTATCGTCGCTTACCAGTGACTGTACGAGGAAATTCCTTTGACGGCGCAGTTCAGCAACTGTGTTGAACACGGACACCTGCCCGGTGGCCTTCAGTTGTTCCAGCAGACAGTCCAGCGCGACCAGTGTGCCGGTGCGGCCCACGCCCGCCGAACAGTGGACCACCACTGGACCGACCACGTTGGACCAAGCCTCGTTCACGCGCTGTACACAATACCAATGTTATAACATTACCTTTGATTAAACAAAGTAACTTACTCTATTTCTGAACATGGATATAATGTTTGATAAACTATATAAAATGAAGGGAGCTGGGGATGAAACAAGTTAAAAGCTTAAAGTTTTATGGCTGGAAAAGGTTAATATTAAAACTCATTTTTATCTATTGCCCTCCACCATCCCCGTAGCTAATCAATACCGCCTATTTACTGTGATGAAAAGCATTTAATAGATAAATACATATTATTAGATAGACAAGGTAGCGAAAGATAAGTCGCAAACCGGCACAATAACTAATATTTATATTAAAAATAGCTCCCGGCAAACCTTGTTCTGCTCTATTTCTCTAACTCGTTATATTTTCTTCGTGATGAAATGCAATCTATAATCAATTTGAAGGCATACCAAAGTTTATCATACCGCTCCTTTGTTTTACATTGATTGATATCAAATGTTCCATAGCTGCATAGAATTGTTTGGAATAAGAAATTTTTATTTTTACTATTTACCACTATACATGTTTTTTCTCTCAATAAGTCTTTTATTCACATTTCTTTACACGCAACAAAAAAGAAATCAACCAAATCGATTTAGCCGTTCTGGAGTTTTGCGCTTAGCAACACATTTAGCGATTCATTTCCTTTATATGGATAAACATATATATTCAAATTTTGTATCTTAAATAGCATGATTATGTTATTATCTCAAAATTAAAAATCGAGATTATTTGTCACGTAACTTGAAACCTGCTATGGTGTGACGTCACCCCGGCAACATCTGTCAGATAAGTCTTAAAAAAATGCTAATAACAATTTAGTGTACGTATGGGAGTGATGTCATGAATTTTCGACTGACCTTGATGAATTTTAGTATGGAGTGTGGATGTTCTGGCGCCGCGAAATCTTTCCACATGAGGAAATGGTACTGCCTCACGATACGAGTCTCGCACGCGTCCTTGCCCTCCCTGGGCGATGTGGGCGCGCTACATTCCGATGCATCCTTGCATTCTGGCAAACAAAATATAAAGGCCGCTAACGAATCAGGTATGGATATGTTTAGAGCTGATGGAAGTCAACTCTCGTAGTATGTAAGTATAAAATATTATAGGTTTTATAATGTGTTTCTGGATATACCTAATATGGATGCAGACGAAAAAAAAAAGAATTTCTAGTATGTATGTATTTCATTGTTACTATTGAAATAATAAATAATTGTTACTTATAAAAGTGTTACTATTTAAAGATAACTTATTATGTTTATAATATTGCTTAAACTAATTATGAAAAATGAAATATTTTATGCTCGTTGTCACGTGACCGCAAACAGCGCGAGATGTCATGCCCTTCTTACTCATATCAGAACTTATAGAATTCAACCTTATGTATCTATAATATATAAAACTAATACTAATATATATATATATATATATATATAGAACGATAATCGGTTCAGAGTGCCGTAACGTCATGGTTACGACATGACTGAAGTGGCATTTTCGCGGGAAATTTTAAAATTTAAGTTTAGATTTTATCTTATTATATGAATGACATATTTTTAGATATATTTCATGCAGTGGCGTACCGTGAGTGTCTGTCGCCCGGGGCGGAACACAATTTTGCTGCCCCTCTTAATTTACACATTATACAGATTAGATTTTGACTGCATGGTTGGTCGAGTGGTTTAGTTATCGCCATGCCTACGGATCGAGTGTTGTGTTTCGATTCCAACAAAGGACAATTTTTCGTGGGATTTACAAATAATTGTTCTCAGTCTGGGTGTACTTTGACCCTCGAAACACAGGACCTGTATCCTAAAATACGGGCTTGTCTTTTAAAAAACAACAAATGATATAAAATAAAAAAATGAACTAAATAACTGAAATAAAACTTTCTTTAAATTGTCAAAGCATCACGTACTTTCTTAGAGGGACGTAATAAACAATATTTAACTTAATATATATGCAATAAAAGTAATTCTTGGTGATTATAAGTCAAACAATCCAATCACAAAATAAAACACGGGGAATCCCCTGTCAGTCAATATAGATGGTGTAGCCGTTCGTTACAAAATATCATTTTAAGAAAGAGTATTCTCCGAATTCGTCATAGAATAAGTAATTAAAAATACCATGCTCTTTAATTTGGTCAAATCAATTCAAAATTATTTATTCAGCCTAGGCTGTTATAAGCACTTGTGAAAATGGGTCCGAATTTATAGTTGTAAAAAAATATATTTTATTGTTTACTGTCAAATTTTGCCGCAACCTAAAAGTCCCCCCCCCCCTCTACACTACGCCCACCCCAGGTTACGTCACTGATTTCATGTATATCTATAAAAAAAATTGTCTACATCGATATTGGGAGGCAAATTTGCTCTGTAAAATCATGCTGTTTATCCAACAATTAATGTTGTATGTTTTAACTTTCACTATTTTTAATGCAAGATAATAAAAAAAGGAGTCAGATCCATAAAAATTACATACCATACTCTTTTTCAGTGTTAATTTCAACAAGAAATAAGTTATCGTAAATACGATTATAATTTTTGTCATTCTACTTTCTATTTTCCTTATATCATATCATTGTAATAAATTATGAAAATTAGTTTGTTTTACCACCATTCCTTTTGGCAACACCATTGTTCTCAACGATGGGTTGTCCTTCAGAATTGGTCGGTTGTTTGACGATCTTCAACTCTCTCACTATATAATCAGAGTACCTAGAACAAGGGGATAAATTAATAACTTTAATACAGAAACGAAGTAAAATATGTAATGCGTTGTAAAAGAGAAGCAATTTTGTTACAAGTACACAATCAACTTTACCAGTTACCGATTAGTTTTTTTCATTAATTTCACTGGCAATTAGTGACACGCAACTAATTTGACCACGATTACCATGACGAAACTAGTGTCGCAAAAACATCTGTGCGTAATAAAGATTCAATTTTGTCGGAGCCAGTATCTAAAAGATGCTGATTTCACACCATTACAAAACAAGTTTCACATGTGGTGAAATTAATTTCGTGAAACTTATTTCATTTTGCATGAGATTAATTTCGAAAAATTTAAATTTACCTTTGGGATTACAGACGCAAATAATGATTTTTCAATAGCATAATGAACGAAACTCTAGTAGCGAACAAGTATAGATACGTGACAAAAGTATCTTCTATTGGGAGTGTCGTGATATGAGAAAGGCTCAATAGTTAATTCATCTTTACCAGTTACCGATTTACCAAAGCAAACGGATAGAAATGTTTTCTTTGTCTTTTTGGGTAAGCAAGTAAAGCGACTTTTTGATCGGCTATTTTGATCGTCAAACTCTTACTCTAAAGCCTATAAATAATAATTTGTTGTATCGACGCGGGTGGCATTTCCGCAAGGAAAAAACCTCTTAAAATAAAAATAAAATGTTCTTATGTGTAAAATTCTCACCGTTTTTCCGATACATGGTGCACAGTGATGGCGCCGAACGCTCTAGATCCTCGTACTTCATCTGGCCAGTACTTGCTACATTTGACCTTCGAATACTCCTCCAAGTTGGTCAACATCACGATCAGCTCGAGTCCATGCTCCCAGATCATCCTCCAAAAGTCATTCACGGTGGTGTCCGTTGGCCCTTGCGCGCAAATGAATAGTTTGCGTTCCTGTCAAAAAAATATAAAACTAAAGGAATTTCTATTGAAGTTTTAACTAAAGATTATTTATTTATAAGTTTTGATTTGCTTTTTAAAACCAGTAAAAAGTATATATCTCCGAAACTACTGAACCGATTGTGATAGAACTTGGGGTATTCCCTAAGTTAAAAGATGATGAATCAAACTAAAACCATTAATGGTCCTAAAATAGGGATAATGCCTGGGTTAAAAAAAAAACTATTTAGTCTGTCAGTCAGATAATAGAAAAATATTAAATTGTTATTTTTTTGTTTCAATTTAACAAGAAATGGCATAGTTAATAGCGCATTAAAGTTGAGAATGGGGGCTTGCAACGTCACAACTATGTAGAAAAAGTTCAAAGGTGATGTCATGTGACATTTTCATTGAATGAATCGCCATATTTTATTGATTACGCAACAAATACGTGTTGATTATTCTTGAATAATATACCCGACGAACCAAAAATTAACCATTAATCCTATTGTGCACTCATTTTTAGAAGCCCAAGTTGATACAAATTGATACCCTCCTTTTTTAAGTACTTGTTATGCTCATTTAAATAGTAACAAACGAAAGAAATAATTCTTGTTCGATATTTAAACATTTTTACTGTAAAGTTGCAAAACTATAATGATAAAACTTAGCATGGTAAGCAAATATAAATTATTATATATTTCCATAGTAACTCTGACTCTGATAGTAAATATCTTAAAAAATTTAACACTTCTAACATTTTATTTATTTAGCTGACCTGATTTCTTTGACTGACTGAAGTTGCAAAAGGTGATAGCAAAATAAAAATAGGTAAAATAATTCTTATAGGATAATGATGTAATCCTTAAAATTTAAAAACACACATTTACACGTACAACGAAAAACACTTGCATGCAATACCTGATTAGGCTCCGAAGGGTCCTTAGTAAGCATAGGACAGACAGACAAACACAGTTAGACATCGTACACAAAGTGGAAACGAAAATCGAGCAACACAAATAAACATATATTTTTTTGTGATATTATTTACAATACATAAGGGTGAGTGCATATGACGAACGATCCAGCGCAAACCATCGGTTGTGTATAGTCAGAACTAACAAATATTTTATACTTATGAGATTCAACCTAACCGAAACTTAATTCGCTTTTTTCATTTATTTCACTGACCATTAGTGAAAATAGTGTCGCAAAATCATCTGTGCGTAATAAAGGTTCAATTTTAGTATCTAAAAGATGCTGCCGATTTCACGCCATTACGAAACTAGTTTCAAATGTAGTGAAATTAATTTCATGAAACTTATTTCATCTTGCATGTGATTAATTTCGAAAAATGTAAATTCAGCTTTGGGGTTACAAACGCTAATGATGATTTTTCAATAGCATAATGTACGAGACTAGTAGCGAACAAGTATAGGTACGCGACAAAAGTATCTTCTATTGAGAGTGTCGTGATGTGATAAAGGCTCAATAGTCAATTCATCTTACGTGTATATTATAGTCAATTCATCTTATTATTTATACTTTTAATAACAAAGTTTTTATACAAAGTCCTAACCACATGCGGTGTTGTCATGAATAAAATAGCGTGACTTTGACAATATATTTACACTGTGATATTAACACTGAGCGTGAGCGTGCTCCTCAAGTTTAAACACAAGTAATTAAAATTTCTAAAAAACTTTCACTAACAATTTAAACTAATTAATGCCATTAAATGGTTTTAAATAGTATCACCGATACCTTCCATTATTTCTTCTTTTGATTTTTAAAGTCTATAGTGTTTTAAGACATCCATGGTAAGATTTCTCAACTAATATCGGACCCCTTACTAATAGGAGGGTTGCTAAAATACAGGGGGATTGAAATAATACTTGTAACTGTTTATTTTAATAATAAATAAATCAATAAAAAATCCGGTAGAATAAACACGTTTTTTATATTACCGCGAAAATGCTGTCCGTCATATGTATGACGTCAATCTGATGCGTACACAAAACAATGCCATCTTTTTTTTTTCAATATGGACTTGTTCCGTTATACACGGAAACAATGCCATCTAACGATCGATTACGAAATAAAAGGATATAAATAAGCTGAGAACAGCATCATCTAGGAATTTGATTTATAATTAATAGGCATATCAGTCTGACAGCTGTTGTCGCCACAGTGACATTATAAAAATCGGGTCGTGTTTCAAATGACAGAACAGACAATATGTTGGCAAAATTTCCGTGTATAATGGAATAGGTCCATATTGAAAAAAAAAACACTTTTTATTTTTAAGATATAAAAAATCGTGCGATTTTGAGATTCAATAACAGAATCTCAATGTAAATTTTAGTTATGTGCAATTTCATGACTTATTTTTCACTACTGAAACTACTATATTCTTGTTATAAATATATAAACTCACCCTATATCCCGTGACATAGTTGGCGTTGATATAGTCAGATCCAGTGATACTGTCCACCTGGGCGAGTTTCACCCGCGTCTGGTCGTACGCCTTGATGTCCGGGTAACGGTTCTTCGGTTGGTTCTCGCGAGCTTCGGACGCGTGAGTCGTCCTATCCGGGAAACACTCGGGCAGCATCTGTAACAACTTCAATTCACAGTCATAGTTTTTAATAATATATGTACTAATATTGTAAAAAGGAAAGATTTATTATTTATTTGTTTGCAACGAATAGGCTCCAAAACTACTGAACCGATTTAAGAAATTTACACCTACGGGAATCTACGTCGTATGCGGTGGACGTAGGCTGTATTTTTTCCCAAAAAAACAGCAAATAAAGCGATGAAAATGGGGGTGGTAATTTATATAAGGAATAAAAAAGTTACTATAGTAACCTTTGCCTACTATTCGATTTGTCATTATAATTATGTTCGTGTCATGATATGAATCTATATCCAAATAAACAGGGACCACGCGGGTGTAGCCGCTGGGGGAAACTAGTCTCCATATATATTTTTTTCTAGTAAAATAAACAAGAAAGTACCTCATATTTATTATTTCAAGTTTCATTTAGAATTCAGCGCCATTGTCGGTTACAATGCATTAATGTTTCTTATAATGACGTCAATCCTATATATACCTATTTTAACAGCAATATAGCGACGGTGTGGTTTAATAGGAATATTAATAAACACTTTTCATGCGTACCTCGAATTCCTTCTGGAACCCATAGTCGGAATCAGCCTGTCGCTCGGCATACGCGGCGGCCAATTCATCCTTCGGTATTGGCGGCATATCCGGCGGAGTCATCGGCATCTGCATGTGTCTACCGCCGAAGTGATCCACTACATACCTAACCGGATAAATACAAGTGTTTCAATGAAAATAATTTTTAAATTAAAATATTATATTCTTTATTACAGCGTCTTTATTCTCGAGTGTATATAAGTCAATTAGGCCCTCAAAGGCAAGCTCGTCTCATCGTAGAACTCATTCGTATTATTAGACTGAATTGAGACCAAGAGTGAGCGCCCATTATAAATAAAAGAAAAACTTATGTTAAAGTTAGACTTATTTCATGTTGATACTGATACTCTGATTATTAAAAGCACTTAAAAGTGTTTAATTCAAAATAAATAAGCCTTATGGCATATTTAAAATTGCTCAAAACATCTACTTTCTGAGTAGGTACCAGAGTACCAGGGACAAAGTGGATTTTTTAAGCATTCTTCATTAAGAATTTTTCCCAATATAGCATTGTGAATGCAAAATTGATGAAAAATAACAATATAGAGTACATTTTCTACATCGATCCGAACGAAAATCGAGACCGGTACCTCAGAGATAGCTGCACCTTGAAACGGATGCACGATCGGCAAAAACGATTTTATGTAAACTGTTTTTAAGATGGTCGAACAATAGTATAAACCGCTGTATTTTTTTTTCGTGAATTCAGTGTTACTCTCGTGAGAGAAGTAGTTCAGTATACTTAACTAATCCACTCCACAAAGTCCTGGCATATAATATTACACCTAATATTGTCATATTGTCATTTCAAATGACGTCACGTGGGAATTATTTAGACCGGGATCCAGCGAATTAGCAATTTGCGGGACTTTTACTTAATAACATATAGTTATTACAGGTTCCATCCAATAAGGTATTTGACACTATTAAAAATAAGTTGCGTATTACGGTCATCATATTAGATAGTAATCTAATAAAGTTTATTTCATAAAAATAACATTTAAAATAGCATAAAGAAAATGCAACATTTTTAGGAATTTTAATGAACGACGAAAACGCCTTGTAATTGGTTATCGTCGCAACCAATAACAGGTTCTGTTTAGCGGCATGTGACGTCATACGTAAACCGGAAGCTGTCATGTCAAAACTGTGTTTATTAGAGATACGCAAAATTAGTTTTTATACATACAATTTGTAGCTCACTTTTATAAACAAAACTAGAATAGATACAAATACAAAACAAAATTTAACTTCAATTTCTCTTCTGTAATACTATTTGTTTACTTCGTAAATAAAGATAAATAGGTTATGTCCCCTTGACATATTTACCGGCATGTGACGTCACAAATACCACGTGATCAGCGCCATTACATAGAGCAGAGTATTTGCGCGATTTTTAACGATTGTTTTCATCAAAAATAGAACAGATTCTCATGAAATATATTGACAGTCTATTTATAATGTATCAAACAGCCATTTAAAATAGTTTTCAGAAAAGCGTAAATTACCCTATTATATCCCAGCAGGACAGACAACTCTATCGACATCCATCTGAGACTTGAGCATTTAAGCAGGCGAGCCATCCGTCGGGTGAACATATTATGCGTTCCCGCCTCGTCCAATAGTACCGCCACCGCAGCTTCTTATATTCCTTTTGAACTAGGTGGCACAGTTGGCAGTTTTAAAGGGTCAGTCGCTCATTGAAAAAAAATGGGGCTTCAGGTGGAGGCGGACCAATGCGCTCCGCGAAAACCACATCCCGCTGTCCCAGGGTGACTCCGCAGGGGACAATTAGCGATTGGGCCACGCTCGTCCCCTTATCTTCTGGAAGTCGACCTATTTTTAAACACAACAGCAGGGCTTCCTGGTCCCAGTCGTTGAGTTTCTGTTTCAACTCGGCGATAGTACGCTCCCCTTGTCCCAGGATCTGGGTGAAGCTGCTCGGGCGCCCCCCGTTTAGATAGATATTTCTTTCTCATATCTATCTATCAAAAGAAAATATATACCTGAACACAGCCTGGATACGGTTCATCTCCAGCGGAGCGTGCGGCGGTACTTTTCTAGATCTTCGAGCTTGCAGTGCGCAGAATACAATCATTATCAGTAGTACCACAGCTGCCACTGCGCAGGTTATCTGCAACAATTCATAAGATCATAAATACATAGAAATAAAGAGACAAGATACAACCTACATTTCAATTTGTTATAAATTTTATAGGTATTATACTATAATGATAAATCTTATGAGAAATAGAATTTGAACATTCCATTATAATATCCTCAGGCCAAAGGCAAATATATAGTACTACCTGTGGCCCTCACACTTAGACTTGGGCGTGAAAGCTAGTTAGCTACGGAGTCAATGTGTTTACACATAGTGAATTTTGCATGGACAACAATGAAATGCAGCTTTGGACATTGCACAATAAATATACAGGAAGCAATTAAAACCACTCTCCAAATTTGAGTATGTTAATCTTAACGACAAATAATGAAATACGGGTTTTTTCTTTTTATGTCGTTTAGAACAAAAATGTTGAGTTATATCGTCACCAAGTTATTTTCAAAAAACCTACATTTGTGGACGCTCTCGCTGCCCAGTACGTGCGCTTTACGCACTACGTTGCACTTACCCCTCCCTCCCTTGCCGCAATTCATTGATAGTTATAATAGCAGCTACCTAAAATGTTTTCGTTTTATCATCCTTGGGGAAATGGTAAATAAAGTTGAAACCTCTTCATACTTTTACGGGCTTAGGACCGTCAAATTGCCTAAATCCTATTAGATACCTACTATTACAATAGCTATACTGAATTATAAGTACACTGACCTGTAGAGCAATCTCTAAAGGGCTGGATGGAACAACCGCTGGTGGACTGGGAGCCGGTATCAGAGCGTTCACATACTCGCTGTATATTGGATCCAAATGAGGTTGACCAGCTAAGGAAGATGTATAAGATTGATTTTGTTTGACGATTGCATTAATATTAAATTATTATTATTATACGCATTAAATTCAGTTATCGCTTCTATTTGTGTAAATTATATGTACGTCATTGAGAAAGGGACGGGTAGCCGTTCTAGTTTTGTTTTTGGTAATGCCAACCTAGAACATTCTAGATATGATATCGGCTCCTATAAATACACGATGGACTACTCGTCTCGGCATTTTTTGTGATCAAGCAAGAGCAAATACAAGCGATACTCAAAGCGATGACGTAAAGTGACCGTAGGAAAGTGAAATAGTAAAGTTGAAGTCTGTATTTTATTAACGATTATTTTTGTAATTTTAAATTGTTAATTAAATTCGGATTGTAAATATAAATGACGTAAATTTTTTTATCCCGAAATCGAGGTCGTAACAAAACTATAGGAATTAGGGGTGTAGACAACTTTTTATATTAATAATTTAATTGATATAGATGTAATATATACAAAAAATACAATTGATATAAAAAGTTAAAATAGTATATATAAACACTAACAGAAAAAAATAGTTTATTTTACTTATTTTCGTTTACTATCTACACCCATATTATAATATTCTCCAACTTACGTATTAACTCAACAAAGAGTGTATAGTTGGACATGGAGTTGAGCTGACCATCATTGACTTTTATTTCAATATCCTTCATTTTGTCCTCTTCGTTTGTATTGTTTCTCATCATTGGATTGCTGAAATAGTCCCTATAAAATGATAAAAACCGCTCTTACTCACCAGATCATAGTTATTTTTGATATATTCTAATATTATATATATTAAATAGGATATACATGTTTTTTCCTCTTTGATACTTCGCAATATTTATTACTAATTTTATTTATCACACAACCTATCTATCTTTTCTTCGGTCTTCTTTGTCTTATGGATACTTAGAAACTGGTGGCATAGCAGCAAATTTACAATTTTTTTATAACATCGATCATCTCAATCTTACAACCGCAAGCCGCTGGCACGAGGTGTTTTGCCCGGCGGCAATACTAAGGCATATGGCATAGACATGTGTGTAGCAGTCATTACGTTTCCGTTCTCATTATAAGATATAATGCATTTCATGATTTGTCACTCATGAAATGAATCATAGGTATATTTACAATATAATTCTCACTACACAAAGGGCGGATCCCGCTTTCAAATTAGGGACCACAAATCAGATTCAGTCAGGACCGAGCATTTTATTAAATCCACTCATTGGCATTATAAAAATATGTGATGAAAATTAACGACTGGCTGAATAGGATCACAATCCTCATGACTCACCCCTGGTTCCGTCATTGCATTACACTAGTCTAGGCCTGAACACAGGCATAATTTATCACAAATCAGATATAGTTCCGATCATTCACCTCTCCAAAGATCTGCGAGTCTTCTCTGGTTCTATAGGATCAGCTGTGGAGTCATCCAATAAATCATCTTCCGTTGTAGTGGGTACCGTGGTTGTGCTAGTTGTGGTTGAAGTTGTGGTGATGAGATAATCAGGGGCATTGTTCCGTGGCCGTAGCAAACAGCGGCGGCACGCCTTGCTCTTGAGTGTGGGATCTTCCTTATCGAATATGGAGTTACCGTCACCCATTATCAGTTCAGAGTCAGATGGGAATTTATCACTGGAACATGATATGTGAACGAATTAGTTAAGCATAAAGTGTCATTGTAAAATGTAACTTAAAATGACTTAAATCATCGACTTTTTTTATAATGTGTGATAAAAGGGGATCGGACAACTTTAAAAAAACTGTTTTTAATTAATCAAAAAGGATGTTTATTCTCACAAAAAATATTATTTTATTCATCAGTGTTTATGACACAGAAACAGAAATATGAGCAGTAGACATTAACAGAGCCTTTATGACATTCATTGCATATGGAACTTAAAAATTCTAACTTTGTCACATGGAGATTGTTCACAATCAAACTTTAAAACAGATACTTAACATCTATCTATAATTTCTAACTTTGTGTCTTTGTTTATTTGTAAGTGGTCATAAAATTTCTTTCACCTATTGGAACCTATGCGGGCGGAAAACTATTAGTTCTATATATTTCGACCACCGATAATTTAAAGCAGTGTAAAAAGTTACTTACTTGGAAAATATGTCCGTTATGTAACCGCCTAACGTCGGTTGTGGACGGTTATGCGCGTCATCATAATCTATGACACTCATGTCTTTGGGTGGAGGTAGATTCTTCCAGTCGACGTTAGGTAACATTCGCACCATATGTACTCTGTTAAACAATATAATGTTAATATAAGATGCAGCGATCGAGTGGAGGATTTCTGGAGGCTATAAAATGATAGAATTCAAAAGAAGTTTCTTGTATAATTAAACAGCTTAAGATAAGTATTGTTACTCATTTTTTATAAGTTTAAGTCAGTTCTATTTTTATAATTATTATTGGTGATACTTATATGGTCAAACTGAGAACCTTTTTTGAAGTCTGTTAAAAAATCTATGAAAATTTATATTGTGACTTTTAAACTATATTAAGAACACTAATACAATTACCTGTAGCAGCAAATACGACCGTTTCTCTCCGTTATTCTCGGCAGATACATTTTGAACATGTATTTGTTATTTTCTAGAATCTGCAAAAAATATATAAAAAGTTTTTAAATTAAATTCAAATTAAACACTGTATGTATAGCCACAAAATTTGGTCCGCCATATGCATGACGTCATATTGGTAAATTAAATACATGAACAGACTATATTATTTCATAGATAAAAAGATATCGACGAGACTATACCATCAAACAATTTGTTAAAAAATATATATACAAATTAAAAAAGAACACCTTCTGGTGATCTCAATGACATCATCAACTCTTTTAATGTCCTCATTGCAACAGAGCGATTCGATAAAAATTCCGAACTGAGTGAATTCAAATTCAGGTTCGGATTTTTACGGAATTGCAGGGCGAGGCTCGGACCATCCTTAAGGATGGTAAAGAAGGATGGGCCATAATGCTCCATGCTGGCCCAATGCAGATTGGAGCGTTTTAACGACTGCATATGCAGCCAGGCCCAAACGCTTAACATGTTTTGAAGCACGGAATAGCTCGAGATCATATTTTTTTGGGTAACCCACTCGGGGAATGACCCTTGCGAAAGTTGTTTAGCAACAATGATGGTGGCTCGCGACGCTTATCCACGACGCCAAAGAGCTACTCTTCCTCTAGCTAGCGATCTGTTATCAAATAATTTGGTAGCTTTCTAAGACTGATCTGACGGATGCATAAAATACAATACACATATATGACAGCGAAATTATTTTTGCCAATTTGACGTCACAGCATGGCGGTTAGATTTATTGACTTTTTTTTTGTAACAAGACCGTTGATGACGCTGTTCTTGTTTGATGACTATTGTAACATTGCGTCGTACCACACCCTTTATTTTGTCTTAGGATTTTGCATCGAAACTTTTTGTCTTTGATTGAAAACATAATTTCATTTTTATTATTCATTTTTCGTAGTTTGAAATTTTAATGCTCTTTCTGAATATCAATTCTTGAAAACTTTTGTACTAGTAGATACATAACATTAGATTTAATAAAAAAAAAAATTAAGTAATCTTTTAAAGTCAAATTAACAGATAAAGTGTATATGTTATAAAATTTTTAATGCAATAAATAAGAAATATATTTAAAAGGTACGCAATTGTTTTATTAAGTACCTAAAAATCATTATAATTTTATAAATCCATACAAACTGTTTTATATTCTTTTCTTTTGTGGTTACAGTTTTTTTAATTTATATTATAAATCGTACTCATCGAGCCCAGTCAGCAGTTTCATTTTCTGCCAAAACCAAAACACTGAATCCTATACTACGTCATGAATATGTCGGACAGTTTTGTGCGGGTATTTAAAGCTTAAAGTTTTGAATAAATTTTAGGGTATGAAAACATTTTTATTTTTACGAAATATATTTGTTATGGATTATTTAGCTTAAAATAAACACTTAAAAGTATTTTTACAATAAGAGAAGTAAACTAATAATAATAATAATAGAATAAATGTACCTTTCTCCAGCGTGGTCTAGGTGGCGCATCGGGCGCATGAGGCGGTGTTTCACAGTGCCGGGTTTCCTCCTCGCCCCGTCTTCTAGTACGAGTCATTGCACTCAGACGAACTGTGTAATTGCTGTTCGGTTGTAAGTCGTCGAATCTGCACAATGGTAAATAATATCAACCTATTAATTTCCGATTGCTGGGGCTCAGGCCTTCCCTGCAGGCGGAATCGAATGGAATGGGGAGAATGGGCCATGACCCACCACGCTGGCCCAGTGCGTGTTGGTGGGTGTTAACCACTGCAGATGCAGCCGGGCGGGACCTTAACGTGCCTTCCGAAGCACGCAGGAGCTAGAGATAATAAATATTTGGTCACCAATCTTATGACTGGCCCTTATGCTTAACCACTGTATCGCAGACCGAGTGCGCTCATTTTTTATAAGATGTAAACTTTAAACAGATTTGATGATTAATTTTTCAAGGAGTGCAGGATAATATCTGTGTTCGACTTTTTGTCACCCACCACGTGAAACCACCCCCTGCGAAAATTGCTTACCAACAATGATCTTTGGCCGCGGCGCTTATCCACTATGCTACCGAGCTACGCCTGTGTAACCGTAATTCCGTTAATTAATGTTTTCGTACCTGGCGCTCCTAGAATCGTTGGTAGTGAACCTAGACAGTGGACCCCACATGTCTTCCTTCTTGGTGCCGTAACGATCTCTATACGTGGCATTGCCTGTTAGTTCCATCTGGAAATGGAAAATAATTATCCGTCCAAATGATAAATCCTATAACATTGAGATACTAAGTATAAAGTGTCAGGCGCCATTTTTATTCTGTTCGTTACGAACAGCTTTTATGAGAATAGAAAAGCCCACCAAGTGCAAATAGGACTCGCGCACGAAGGACTCAGTATCTATAAAAACACAAAAAAAATAAGTTGTTGTGTGAGGGCCCCCATAAATATTCATTTTATTCTGTTTTTTAGTTGTTTTATCGCCAACAGAACATCCTTCATCAAACTTAAACACAATAATTAAAAGAAAATTGACCGAATTTTCAGGCCTTACTAGAGTTTTCGCGACGCATTCAATGATTAATTTCCATATAACAATACTCACCGTATACCCTTTGATCTCAGCATTAGGCTTCTCTGGTGGATCCCAAGTTATGTTCATGTATCCACCGTCGCAGTTGACGTGAACATTGCTCGGTTTCCCTGGTATACCGTCGAGGGTAGCTGCTTCCATCTTGTCTGACCACGGTCCGCATTGTTTCCGAGTAAATTCCGAACAAGCACGCACCTATAATTATTCTAACGTAAATGACCATGACAGTTTAAAACAACATATTATTATCATTTTTATAAGAAATAAAATACCGTAATCCAAATATTGATAAAATAGTACCAGATAAGCATATAATCAAAATAAACAATTGCTTAGGGCATCATATCTTGATGGGCACCAGAAAAGCACCAAAAAATGCTAGCAACAAGACTGTTTGAAGATCCGCCAGTTTCTTTACTCCACGTATCTCTTTTGATCTTCATACATATCAGGGCCCTTATTCCCTATGTCAAATTAGATTTCGCACTTGAATCTTACCATGCGAAAACCACATCAATATCATATTTTGTTCTATGTCATTATTCATTTAATTCCGCTCAGACCAAGCCGCTCCAACACAAGACTGCACGGTATCTACCAATTTGCGGCATTTTATTCAACGCTGGAACGGCCAATTAGAACGATCGACGTCATGTTTTTCTCATTGTATCCCGCGGCACGCTACAGAAAATAAAATTTGAGTTTTCACAGGCACTCCGCACAATTATTGAGTGTGGAATTTTCGACAGTTCATATCGCGTATCGTGCATTTTACGAGATTTAAATATTTCAAATGGTTTTTCTAAAATACGGTATTGATATGGTTTGGAATCAAGGAATCGATAAGTGGTCATAGCGAATCAGGGCCCTTGTATGGAATGATGTATCTCGTTGTATTAAATATGTATTTCTTCGAAATCCACGATAGTTTACTTAGGGGGAATATATAGATAAGGACTCTTTGGGGTATCAAGTAGTCATAATCCGGTACTGCGGACAACTTCACAGTTGCGCAAACGCGTGCTCGCTCAGATCGAGCTTCGCCCGTACATGAACAAGCAGTAATAAATTATAAATCAAAATAAATCTCACCCGAAAAATATAAGTGCTGTGGGGATCCAACTGGCCAAACATATACGGTAGATTCCTACTGTCACGTGGATGATATGCTTCGTGTGTTTTATTTTCATCGTTCTTCCTCGCCTCCAAATGGTAGTAATGAATTAGAGCAGCTATATCTTCTGGCGGAGGTGGCCATCCAATAGTCACAGACGTAGCCGAAAAACCATTTATAGATATCTTCGGTACAAACACCGGTTCTTTATCCAAAGTCTTCACTGTGCTCTTGCCCACATATAATCCTGTAGCTGTCCAGCCCTTAGTCTTGACTTCCAATTTCAATTGATACTCGGTAGATTTATTTAAATTATTGATAACAAAAGAAGTGTTTTTAGAACCTATCTTCTCTAACGTATAAAAGTTAAAATTCTCTGAAGGGCTTTCACGTATAAATAACGAATACATTTCGACGGGCGAATTGTAGTTGTTCACAGTCCAATTTATGTAGATCTGTGTCGTGTTTATTGGTAAAGCGTTGAACGCAACTATCTTAGGTTTGTCGTAGACGATGACGTCGATCTCTCCTTGTATATTCTTGTTTGTGACTTTGTCCTTTATTTCGCAGACATAAGTGCCATTCTCCTCTGCCGTTATATGAAGGTCGAATGTTCCGTTTACTTGTTTCAGTCCGACTGGGATTGCGGGGCGCAACTGCGTTCCTACATCTTTCACATCTTGTTCCGAAAGTTTCACATCTTTCTTATACCATCCAATATTGGAGATGTTCCATGGGTCATAAACTAAAGGTAGTTAAAAGATGATTTATTATTTTAGACCAGTTAAACTACAAAATTATCAGCATAGTTATTCATAAAAAAATATTACATAACAAAAAAAATTGTCGTTTTGGAAATTACAGAGAAAATATCCACCAACAAAATCAATTTATCTAATATAAATACATTGTTAATAGAAAAAAACAACAAAATGTAAATAATTCGAATCCATTATCTATATCTCGAATCTTTAATCTATAACTCGAAAGCGCATGTGACAAGATATTTACCTTCGAAGAGGCAATACAGCTTGACGTGAGAATCGCCTGATACTGACACGTTCAGTCTCAAGGGCCCGGTGGTTTTATTCACTAGGCGACCAGGGAACGTCAAATCCAGTGTTACACTTTTATTCTCCACCTTCAAAATGAATTCACTTAATAATACTGTAGTGTAGAGCATGCATACCTTATTTATGTAGATATTAGACGTTTTTAATTTAGACATGAAATTAAAAACCAAGTACATTTGAGTGAGTTCATCATCAGTCTATCAATATCCCCACTACTGGGGGCACAAGCCTTCCCTATAAACGGAATTTAATCGAGTAAGGGTCCAACGACGGATTCGATCAAGCATGGAAGAGTTCCGAGGTAATCCATTTTTGGTCACCCATCATATGACCGGCTCTTACGAAAGTTAATAACACAAGTCCTTTTAACACAGTTCTTGTTACTAGATTAGAAACATAGCTACCACCGATGATTTTGTAAAGGAGATATTGCACTAATAATAATGGGATGTGATTATAAATGATTCAGGTGGTAACCCGCAAAGCATATTACACACAGTGAGATTAATTTAATTATAGTGTTTATTGAAAAAGAACTGTAAGGTAAAAATAAAAAAAAAAAGATTTAAAAAAAATTGTAAGCTGACCTTGTCACCGATTTTAGCGAGACACATATAATTGCCGGCATCTGCCTGAGTGACGTTGCCGACTGACAATCGAAGGGTCTTCCTTTTCTTAGTGTTGCCATCACGATCTTTATCTGGTAGCTTGATCTCTTCTACTGTCAATTTCGTTCTGTTATGTGAAGAAAAAAACATCATTATTTCTTATAAGAGTATTTTATTAGCTTCACACCGAGCGATACCACTTACCGCGAGAACTCGAGATCCAAGATCGACCGTATGGATGTCACAAACAACATTTGCGATAGGTTGAATCAATTTTATAGTGTACACTAATGTTTGTTTAAATTTTATAATGGTGAATTTACTGCCGCATGCGGCTCTGTCGAAAGTTGCGGATCTCAAGTTTCATTTATAAAAAAGAATAATGGCACTTTGTTCCTGGCACTCTGAGATGGAGTCAAAAATCACAGATTTGACTCTATCTCAGAGTGCTAGGAACAAAGTGGAATTTCTAAGGATTTTTCAGTATAGTCTTGTATATGCAAAATTTATCAAATATAATAAGAATATTTTTTTGAAATCCTTTAATAGATCAATAGTTTAGTATATATAGATAGATACTCTAATGTGATTGAGATATACTGAATACTCTAATTGAATGGGCTCTGAAATTAAATTATGCTGCGTAAATTATGGCATGGGCCATAAATTTCGATCGAAAGCGCAAATTAATTTATAATATAAAAAATTGTGAAATTTTGTAAATTGTAGCTTTTAGCCGTTTCGTCTCATAAGGTTGCAGATCCCTTCACTATAACATATTTTGAATTTAACTTTCAAAACATTTAGGTTTAAAATTCTTGTTGCCATTAAGTTAATTTTATATTTTGAGTATAATGAGTTAACAAGAATTATATATACAGTTGCTGGACCATATTAAGTCCAAGCATTCTTATCTAATTGTTGTATTTTAGCTGGGACCTTATTGTAGAAGCGAACGCAAAAGACTCCTGAATGAATAATTAACTTTTTGCACATACTAATGACATACTTATTATATAAATTTTAAACCTTAGTGTATAAAAGAGATTACATATTGTTTTTTTACAACATATAATAATTCAAATCAAACCAAAATTATTTATTTAGTCTAGTCTGTTACATGCACTTGTGAAAGTCGAGAGCTAAATTGTTTGTGTCATAAAATTTCCTATTAATATAATTTCTTTGTATCAACATATGTCAAATTTTGGAGAGATCCAATGAGAGTTTACTTATAATTTTGAAAATGCATAGATGTTTAGTTTCGCATTGAGTTTATTGTAAATTAGAGATCCGTAGAGTCCGAGTGTTGAAACTTAAATTGGCTACTACAATTATTTGAATTTACTTTTAAAATAAATTGAGTAACAGTAGAAGAGGAATTCAAAGATTGTGTAATTAAGACGAATTTCGGTAAATAAATTTTCATATACTGTAACAACTTCAAAATCGAATTTTTTTTTTTATCATGAATATTTAAATTAAAATTAGTATAATGGATTTTTCTCATCCAATTCAATGTTTACGATGGTCCACGTCATTTTAACTTTATCTTTACTATTTTTTATAATTGCATTTAAATAATTACATTTGGATAAACAACATTATATCAAATTGTTTAAAAAACAAGATTTTTTAAACAATTTGAAATAATTTTGTACATTTCCTAAGTCTTCGCTTGTGTTATAATTACGTTCATCATATAGTTCATAGAGCCTTTTTCTGCTTTTATATTCAGGTGTTAATTTCAGGTGTAACCCACACACTAAAAGTTATAGGATAACAGTAATTTTTTTTTGGGACAATTTTTTTATTATATTTTGTATTTATAGATTATTTTATGATAATGAACCTCAATAAGTCTGAAGATTGGAACGGCAAGCCACACTATGCTTAAAATTTAACTATTCACAAAAACCACATAAAATGCAAATCTAAGGACGTGACGTAATTTGTGGGTTAAACAAAAGGGCGAAAAGTATCATAAATAACAATTATATTCATACTCACAAATAAATAAAACAGATAACTGACCCTTGTAAACTGTTAAAAATCAAGTAAATCATTAGAATGATTTGGCACTCTGATTTTTTTCCCGTGCTTTTTCTAGACAGTTTTATAACTAATTTACCCACAAATGACATCACGCGCTCTACTCCTTTATTCTGTAGCTCTAAGGACAACCTAAATAAATTGTGCAGTTCTGTGGGCAAGCGGATATACGAATATGTAATTTCGGCACACTGGAATTGTTCACTTTTTAGAGTTTGTCATACAAAAGAAGTCACTTGGTTTATAATATTTTTGCTCTTATTGCAATAAGGAATAAGAGTTATGCCATGGGACTTCTTTCATGAGACAGATTTTATGGTGATTACGACTTTAAGGTATCAGTTTTGATAGCGAATAGGCTTGCTGACTGGAGTAATTTTTCGTTTATTGATTTAAAAATAGCAAAATTATTCGGCAAATAATCTTTAAACTATACGCACTTTTTACAATAATGGAAATAGTTTCAGTGCAACTAATAATTTCTTTAGTTCAATTTATTATTAATTACAGCATTGACATTTACTAATAATGATATACTATTATTTACTTGTGGTGTGCAGTTCTCTTTGCTTTTAATTTTTACTTATTTAAGAATAATCAGTAAGTATTTACCGATTTGATTCACCAATTGGTACTCCTTGCCAGGTCCACTGAATGTCGGCTGTTTCTGGGGAGACACTGCAATTGAAGTTTGCATCGCTACCAATCTCACCTTTCGCTGTTACTTCTATTTCCAAATTCTCTTCAGCTGTAAAATAAAAGGTATATATCTAAGAAATAAGTAAGAATTTGTTGTTTTCTTTACCATAATATTTATTTTATATTGAAGCTTGAACCTAATTTCCTGATTGACTTAAGAAATCTACACTTCAGCTTATCACTTAAATTAAAAAGTAATAATAAAATTATGATTCAGTAACTAAGTTACTGAAATTCTGCTAGGAACCTGGGATTTTGAAATTAAAGAACCAGAACTAGTTTTCTATTGGAAATGTTATAACATAAAGAACAAAATTATAAAAAATAGGTCAGTCAATTAACTGGACTCCCTAAAATATTTAAAATTGCTCATAGTTAACACACATATTTGTAGTTAAGTACAAATAATTAATTGAGTTAAAGTCATAAATTATGCAAATATTTTTAACAAATAAACAAGAATTTGAATGAAGTTAGAACTATCTTAAGAATACTACTAATAGCTAATGATGTTCATTCAAATTCTTGTTTATATTTGTTACAAATATTTGTTTATGTTATAAATTTAACTCAACTAATTACTTCTACTAGATTAAAGATGTGAGTGTAAGAAACAATGTTGCTTGTATAAATTGTATCTGGAAACAAAAAGACTTCTTGATAATTAAAAATAACATTTGGGATATCAGAGAATTGAAAATACCCCACAGATAAGCTTTAGAAATCTTTTTGGGAGTGTGGCTTTTTAATGCATTCATCTAATATTTAATTTACACAACTTAATATCTTCAGCACTATAACCTTTTTACAACAAGTAATAAATCAACTGAGGTTTTCCTTGTTTTATTTATATAACAGGAAAAAGACATTGACATAATAATACAAAAAGAATACACTGGATATAAAAATTCAAGTTGCATAGTTTCAAAATAAATTTCTCATAAAAACGTCATGCTATTTGTTAAGAACTTCAAATATGAGTGTTGTCATTTAGCCTGTTTATATTCTAGATCCGACTCATCATACAATAAATCTTTGCTGTACTGTAACCATATTGGGTATAATAAAAGTGATAAGTTATTGATAAAATAACATTATAAATAGAAAGACAAAGAAATAAATCATAAAAAAATTCTTAGCGGTAAAGTCAAGAATACAAAACATGACAATGAAATATTAGATGTACAAGTACACCTGTATCAGGAACAGTCAAAAGACAATTTCCATGATAAAATTTATCTATTATTTACCATCAAATCCAGATTCCACTCTAAAAATGATAATAAAACAAAATATAACAACAATCATATCAGACTAAAAACAGACTGATCCCAGCTAAGCAGTAAAGTTTGTAACTATATAAATTGTTCAGACTGAAATTTTACAGGAAACGTTAATTGGAAAAACACGATAGTCAAAAATATTACTGTAAGCTAAACTTATACGGCCTGATATGAACTCGTACAACCAGGTCCGTTTGTTAAAAATATAATAAACATCAGGCTAATAATACTCACCGAAAACTGGATAACACAACGCAATAAACGCAAAATATAGACCAAATGTCGCCGAACACTTCCCGATGGAGTGGCCCATTGTCATGGCGGAAATAACAGCTTTTTACAAACAATACATGTGATATTGGGGTAACAAACACATTACATAGTTCTTATATTATTTTTCGATTCATACACAGCGCGTTAGTAATGATAGCTTCTAAAATTTATAACAAAAATCAAATAATGACGCCCGACAGAAGCCGAACAAACAATTTCACTGAAGAGAACTGTGTTTTCATATTAGAAAATTAAAGTACCCTATTTAATGGTAGATATTTTCCCCCATGAAATATAAAAATGAAAACTTTTCGTATTGATAGAATACTTATCGAAAGAACTATTAATATACCTAGAATAGCTTAATTTATTAATCGAATTAAAAAAGGAGATTTAAGAAACCTCCTTAGTTTAGGTGGATAGATGTAATCGAGCTGAGCGAACTGAGCGAGATATCAGGTACAGAAGTCTTTTTCTAATAGGGTGACAATAACATTTTCATTCCGTAAGACTTTTCTTATAGTACTTTGTGGGTGGTTTACACATATTTATTAAACAGTTTTCCTGTGACTTTTTATAACAATTAAGGTTTTATACATTTTTATTTCCCTGTCCGTCAGGTAGAATATTGAAAAATATGAAATATATTTTTTAGTTCTTTTTTACGTTTTTTAATCAATAAATTACGGTGTTCTAGTCCATTTCTTGTTAAATGGAAGCAAAAAAAATTTTCTATTATCTAACGGTCGGTCTAAATATAATTTCGTTTTTATTACCCAGGGATAAAATATTCAGTACATTATTCGCTACTTTCGCTGTCAGAGTTACTAGAGTTACTTGATTGGTCCCCTAATCTCTCATAATATGTCAATAATAAGGAAGTATTAAAAAAAATTGTTCTCGAAATCAAACTAGACGTCGCAACGGTATCTTTGTTGATTTCTCTATGACAACCTTTCCGGTCTTTTTTTAAGTTTAAAAGTAAATTACTATTGAAAACTCAATAAATAACTCATAATCTATTTTTATTTTTGCTTATTTGTATTGATATTTAAGTTTCGATTTTTTCAAATATTAGTTTTCTAATATGTTACTTAAAAGGAACAGAAATGCCTGTTTTTGGTCAATAAGAAAGTATTTAAAAAAAAATAAAAAAACTACAAAAATTTATGGCACTAGATGGCAGCACAAATTGTTGGATCTAAACATCAATTCATGACGTTAAACCAAAGAGAATAGAATTGTTAATGTTGTTATGGATCTGATAACTCGGATTAATATCGAGTTGAAATTTAATTACTTCGAGATATGGAAACGCAACTCGTTTAATGCAAAGTAATCTTTGAATAGATTTCTTTTTTACTTGTATAGAGGAAAATAAAAACTAACATAATGGAAGTGAGCACAGAGGTTTTTTTAATATTTATGGAAATCAAATAAATTAATGTTGTGATATACTTAATTAAAAGTGGCATTTAGCTACGGTATACAATAATATTACCGGCAAATATTGTTTATAAATAAAATACTTATGCCAGTATAGTAGGTCTAGGAAATTTTCATTATAATATTTAACAAAAGTTCTGAAAACAATACCCACTAGGTTCGTTGGTTTTATTGCTATTAGTTGTTTGTTGAGCTTACAAAAACAAGACTACATCAAGTCTCAATAATATTTTTATATTATGTATGGGGATTATTAATCAGCAACAAAAGTCATAAAAACGATAATTATAATGAAAAATCCGTTTATTATCTAGGTATATACTGACCCGATATGTATAAAATATTAATAACATGACTTCTGGCTAAAATGACGTTTGTGCAAAGTGTAACGTGCAAATAACTTGTGCTTTCGAAATTAAAATTTTAAAAAACTATGATCATTTATTAAATCATATATTCATAATTAAATAATCTTAATAAACATTCAGCAATCAACAAAAAATGTCTGTTCTAAACGAACAGCAAGGTTATAACTTTAAATTTCTAAATCACAAAGACACTGTAACGTTGTTCTATTTAATGATAAAACAGTAAATTAATGTTTACGTGTCTCCGTATTAATTATGAATTGTTTATCATTATTTACAAACTGCAAATAAATTAAAATAAATAATAATCTTAAAACTATGTTAATTTTTAATGAAAACTTAATAACTACTAAAGAATAAATAATTATACGTTAAAAAAAAATAATACTTAAAACCTAACTATATACAAATTAAATATTTACAAACAAACAGATCGCACGCAGATGTAATATATATATACAGCGATGTTGGCGCGGGCGCGGGTAGCATAAAAAACGATAACAAGTCGACCGCGCGGCGGCCGGCGGCGGCCAGCCGCTCGTGCCTGTTGCGAGCGACACTTACAAATGAATCTTGTTTGAAAACAGCTGTGTAACGCTTTTCAAAATATAAAGTCTGTTCGATTTTTACTAAGTCTTCGACTGACGATTCTTATTTTAAATAAATATATAAAAAAAAAAGTTTAAATAAATATAAGAAACACTTAGAAGTGTAGTGAAAAAATATAATCCCGTACTGGGAACTCCGTACGGATTAAGAAAATCACGCCAACTTTACTTATACTGGGAATTGATATTTGAGAATTGGAGAAGTGCCTTATGGAAACCAGAAATTGAAGCCCGGCGCACCGTAGAATTCACAGGAGTACAGGGAAGTTCTATCGAGTGATCTACCATCAGACCTCTAAGAAACCTACCCACGACCCTAGGGACCTTGACCTCGATTTTACTTATCGCAAATAAATATTCTTTCTTATATATCGTTCTTTTTTTTTATTTTTATCACTTAATAAGAAAAGAACGTGTCAGTGGCGCCCACGCTTAAATTAAAGGTTTCGAGGCTGCTTTTGGTGGATTACTTTTACTTATAGTTTTTTTTTATTCTTTAATTACTGGTGTTGGGGGTGAACAGTTTTTTTTGTTAAACGATCGTAGTGATTTGAGTTGTGTGCTACGAAACAGTTAATAGTATTCACTTTAAAAATTGTGTTTTATTTTGGTCTTACATAAAGGGAATTGTTCAGTTTGTATGGGCACTTTGGCTTTGAGTGGACATTATCTACAGTTATAAAAAACATTATTTTTTAATATTTCATATCTTAAGGAAGTTACCTATTGTAATATTTTCATGGGAAAGTTTAACATTGTATATATATAAGCATGAGAAGTATTCCATAAACGATGTAACGAAAAAGTTATTTTTTTGTAAAATACTTTAATTACCTTATCATCACATTAATTTATTTATGTTAGAAATAAGAAACAGAGATGTCTAAATAAAGAAATTGTAGATTTACACATATTTACCTTTAATTTGACAATACAATTCTACAAGCAAAAGACAGTACTTCTAAATACACATATTTATAAGAATAGACTTTACATAATCACTTAATAAATAAATTACACTGCTCATACAGATTCTCTTCAGCTGGAGGCTGGCATTTGGGCAGTCAAAAAAACAGCTACATTTATATAAGTTGGCCACATGGCGTCCTAATCTTTGAATTTTCCACGGCGTCTCCTGATGTATGCTCTCCCTCAAACAAGACTATTCTCCTGATTTGTGCTCACCCTCGAGCACAACTCTTCGGCTTGGAGCGGCTGTAGACTCACATTTACGTCTGCGCCTATTAACCGAAAGGACTATTTAAAACACCTATTCAGTACATTTGCACATAACTACTTAATGATAAATTAACATTAAATATTGAACAACTAGTTAATAGTAGCAGTATTAATAGTATATCATCCTGATGAAAGATGTAGCTTCCCAAAGCAAAAGAATTTTTTAAATCAATTTAATTTTAACTGAAGGAACTCCTGTTTAGACAAACCTTCAAAAGTGCACAATGTCTTCAGTCATTCCTTCAATATTGTTAAAATCCATTGTAAGATTTCTTTTTTACAAATGATGCAAAATCTTGTATAAGTTCTGTAGTAAATGTATGAATAGTTTGCATGATAGACAACCATTCAGCCCAATTATTATAATATGAATGAATTACACAGTCTACTGGTTTTTGGTACATAAAAGTTAAAATCAACAATTTTACCTGAAGCCATCTTGGAACTGTCAGTTGCTGTGGTGAGTCTCAATCTCAACCCGGAACAAAACATAATGATTGTGAATCAGATGCTCTTTTAAAATTCTCTATCTCTAACTGTCTCTATCTGCTCGCTGCCAACATGGATGTGAGAGATGAAGATCAGTTCTATGCACCTAAAAGAGTATAATATATAATTAAATTATTTGTCAACAAAATATTACTTAAACGATATGGTTACGATTAATTATAGTAATCATAATAAATAAAAATAACTATAATCCTACCTGTCGTGGGGATATCCAATCAATAATTTCATTTCTAATGTGTGTTTCTTTGTCGGATATTGTTTGCAGTAGATGTGATCTAGTACGTAGTATAGATCTTTCACAATTTATACAAAGCTGCCGACGATATTCACGTAGGAGACCATTACACGATTTAAAAACATTCATTAAACCAAACAATTTTGAATTACCAATTCTATCTTTCTACATGGATTTACCAAAAACAAAACGTTAAACGATATGAATACGTTATTTAAGAAATTATTTAATATAAACAATCATTTTAATAAGAATTATCACTCATACGTATTTGTTGACAAAGTGAAATGGTGCTGCCATATAAAAAACATTAATCGATTAGAAAGTAATCGATTGTTAGTGTAAAATAATTTATATCTAACCGAAAAGGACTATTTGTCATGTTTTTAATATATTTGATGCATGATTTTGCAAAAGATCACCTACTGTATATGCATTAATATATATATACTTTAATTACTTTCATTTGTATTAAAGTTAAACCTTATCGATTAATCGATTCTATTAGTAATAGTACTTCAATAACATTTATTGATATGGAAACACTGTGAAACATGTTAACAAAACACATCCGAATCCAAAAAATACTTTTAATAATAATATTTTTAATGTTTAGTTTCCCATGACGAGAGTATAAAAAATATATTTTTCAGTTTTAATAATATTTTACTGTTTACATAGTTTTTACTAATTAGCTTGTCCACCAAAAGCCAAAATTGAACAATTCCCTTTATGTTAGAATTACTTTTGTATTTGAACAAGGTGTAAAGCACTCAACTCAAATATTGCTTTATTTTGTAATTTTTTTTTGTGTGTGTTTT